GCACGGAGAGGAGGAAGTCAAATTGGAAGAACGATGAATGCGAGTAACAGCGCCGCGCGCTAGATCATGCGGGACATGGCGCCCGGCCTTCCCCTCAATCTTGCTCTAATGGGGCCACGAAGCGTGTGGAGGTGTGCCGAAATGGGCGGGGCGACGCCATGCGAACGCACCCATTGGGGCCCCCGGTGGAGCTCCCACGGGGCCACGAAACGTGTGAGGGGTGTGCCGACATGGGCTGGTCGGCGCCATGCGGACGCACCCAGTGGGTCCAGGCACGATGAGGGTTGTGCCGAAATGGGTGGGGCGACGCCATGCGAACGCACCACTGGGGCCCTCAGTGGAGCTCCCTGGGGGCTACGAAACGTGTGAGAGGTGCGCCAAAATGGGCGCAGCACCACCACGCGGACGCGCTCATTGGGGCCCTCGGTGGAGCTCCCTGGGAGGCAGGATTTGTGTGAAGGGCACTGTAATTAGCGCGTCGCCGCTATGCAGACGCACCTACTGGGGCCCTCGGTGGAACTCCTTGGGAGGCAGGAAATGTGCGTGGTGTGAAACGACATGGGCCAGGGCAGGGAGAGAAGGAAGAGGATGGGGAGCAAGGAAGGAGGGAGGAGGAAGAAGATGGACGCCGAGGACGAGGAGGAGGAAGAGAGGAGAGGAAGAAGAGGAGACGCGCGGCGCTGCGGATTCAAAACGAAGACCCGATAGACAGGAGGGTTGGACAAGTAGTGGCAACCTTCTGCTAAGTCAAGTACCATTGCAAATTCGTAAGCTGGCTCAGTATGAGTTGTATCCAACAAACACATGAACATGTTGGCATACCACAGTGAATACATGGTAGACGCTTCGCGTAACCCCACCAGCCAAGCGGCGTAACGTCTCGCAAGATGACATCAATAATGCTGCGCGCCAAATTTTCAGTCATGTTCCCAAGAAAGAAAACAATGAACTTGAATACGGCAGAAAATGTGCTGCTACCGTGGGTTACACCGTCGACGGCGTCCCGAAAGGTATGGCAATCATGGGAACTACACCGGGTTTGCGAACCGTGAACCGAAAGATGTGCATTCTTGCATTTTCGACAACGCCTGTGCGCAGCTTCAAAACCCCAAACTTGCGCTGAATGGCGGACATGTGCGGTTTCACAAGACTGTCCACCCTTTATGCGTGCAGCAATCATTTTCTGTTTCGGGGCCAAGGATTGCATGCAACATGCGCGTCTTCTGGACAAAAGCCTGATACATCGAAGCTGGTGTAGGGCTCGCCCTTGCATCAGCGATGAAGGAAGGCAACAAATGTAACACGGATCTGGGCCGCCGAACGGGATAAATGCGTGGACTTGCGGTCTCGCCAATAATCCAAAGACCTCGCTCAAAGGTGCGATGGTACCGTGCAGAGACGCACTCAGGGTAATAAAGGCGGGGGGGAAAACTCATCCCCATTGGACCGGAGTCGGAATGACAATAGTGTTGACGCTACGACTCCAAACCGACCAACTAAAGGCAACATTATCGCAAACTATGTAAATGCTGGGCAAAGCCGCCGCTGACCCACTCTTGTGGAGCAAATTGCGCATGTTGTCCGCTCGCTCGAAACATCCGATGGTGCAATCGGACCTCCTTTGCTGAACCTCGCCCCGCCAACTACCTCTTCGAGACACATGTTCTGCGCCCGTGTAACACACATATATATATACACGTTGGCTGCCGGGCCAACAGTGGCGGACATGCATTGCTTGCCCTTTCTTGCGAAAAATCTGTCGCACTCCGTGCTGAGCCACATGTCATGTTACGAGTAATGGCTGATGGCTCTGCTAGCGCCTGGCTGTCATATGCATTACTGGCACGCCGAGCTTGTCATAGCGCAAGAAGGCAATCTAATTCAACTTGGAACATAACCATGTGGAAACCAAGAGAATTCAGAAACCCAGTCGGGACTGCGCCAAAACATGAAACCATTAGCCCGATTGACTTGTATGTGCTTCAATGGATGCAGGATATCGGTGACAACATGTCGGTGACAGCATGTGAAATCCATCACGCAGAGCATGCAGAACATCCGAAATCAACCCGTACAAGGATTCGCGCGATTGTTTGGGCATGTCGTATGCCTCGTCTTTCGCGGGCACGTTGCACGTCCCAAACGCCGTCGCTCAGAGAGTTCTCCGCAATCCTGGATCGAGTCGAACGTCCCCGACAGCCTCCGCAAGAACACCTTTCGCAGCTGGCTGCAACAAAGACAAGGGCACCCGGTATGTGTGTGTGTGTGTGTGTGTGTCCTGGCCGCCGCGCGCACTGTCTGTACGCTTTCTCCGCCTTGTCGCTGCGCGCGAGGCCGCTGCCGCCAAAAAGCGTGTGTGTGTGTGAGAGAGAGTAAGTATATGCGCGTGTGTATGGGGGGTGGCACGTGCGAAATCCACCGGCCCCCTTGTGGGGCCATCGGGCTGCGGGGCTGAGGCTTCTTGCAAGCTGCTCACGTTACAGTCTCTGATGTTATACTTGTACTTCCTGCCTTCTTCTGTAAACTGCTACTGTCCTCGCGAGGGGGGAACCGAAAACCAGCACTTCCACCGTCGCCTCCTGGGGTTCTCAAAACTTCTGAGGGGCCCTTGGGCACAGAACGTTACCTGATATTCGCGCCCCCGAGGCCGCCATCCCTGGTTGCGCAAGACTCGCGTCTCCGAGGCCAGAATCCAAAGTACTGGCGCCGGATTCGCGCTCCCGACGCCAGCATCTTTAGAGTAAAAAGCCGGACTCGAGCTCCCGAAGCCAGAGTCCCTTGTCAATGACACCAGGGTCGCGCTCCCGAGGCCAGAACCCCTGGTACACTACGCGTGACTCGCGCGTTCCCGGGGCCAGAATCCCTTTCACATTAGGCCAGATCCGCGCGCCCGAAGCCAAATTTGGGCGCCCGAGTTATCCGGGGTAACTCGGGTCCGGGGTAAGTCGGGTTTGGATTCCCGAAAAAGGAACCCGAGTTAGCCCTGACCCGAGTTACCCCTGATGATTCGGGGCTCTGGACGCCCGCGTTATCCGGGGTAACTCGGGTCCGGGGTAACTCGGGTTTGGATTCCCGAAAAACGAACCCGAGTTATCCCTGACCCGAGTTACCCCTGATGATTCGGGGCTCTGACAGATTCCTATGGCAATTCATTGCGTCCCCGGTACCCAGAGATGGCCGCAAGCAGCCCCCCGTCGCACCGCTGCTAGTGCATAGCATGGGAGGAACGCTCCAAAAAGGCAACACGGTGCTCAAGCATAGCCCCAACATCTCCAAATGTACTGCTGATTCATACCCGTCCCCGCATGATGTTCCCAGATGCCTTTAACAACGGCGCCCAAGACATCCCGACACGGCCCTGACATCTTCCGTCGTGATAGGGAGGGGGCCGGCGGCAGAGGGCGACGCACTCACGGATTATACGCACGAGTGCTGCGCTCATCGCCTACCCACCCAGAACCTCGAAGCTGCCCGCCCTTCCTCCTCGCCAGAGCCAATGCCCGGCCATCTCGGACCCCCCCAGCCGGCTCCAGCCCAGGTCCAGCGGACTCTCGGCGGCATCCTGAACTCGCCAGACTCAGAAGAGCCGAGCGCGCTCCGACCACCGCGCATCTGGCCCCTGGTGCCGTCGCGTCCCCTCCTCGCTCCCCCCCTCGGCCTTGCCATCCTCCCTACCCTCCTCCTCCTCCTCCTCCTCCTCCTCCTCCTCCTCCTCCTCGATCTTCGCCCTTCCTCCTCGATCCTCCTTCTCCTCGATCGTCGATCTTTCTCATCCTCATCCTTGGTCCTCCTTCGATCCTCGATCCTCCCCCTCCTCCTCGATCCCTATCGATCGTCGTCCTCCTCCTCCTCCTCATCATCCTCCTCATCCTCCTCCTCCTCATCCTTCTCCTCCTCTCGGCCCCCCCCTCCATCTCTCCCTTCCCATGCCACCACCCAGGCCACAACGCTTCGTGCTTCGTCGTCTTCGTGCTATCGCGCCGGCCTCTGCAGCGAAACACACCACTCTGGCCCAGACCGCGAAGCGCGAGCCTAGTCCGGCTCAAGGGGCGCCCTGCTGCAGTTCGGTGTGGTGGAATGGTCGGCCGCTGTGCCCCCAGCATGGAGTTCGCTTCTGGTCAACACTGCCTGTCAAGGTTCAAACAAGCGGCTTCTGGCGGCTGGTATGGGAGCCTGGGCCCTGGAGATCGGTGGCCTAATTATCACTGCCCCGCATCGTCGATCCCCATCGTGGCCCCCCCTCGTGGCTGCCCAGGCCCCCCCCCGCTGTCAACTGTGTAAGCTGTGTAAAGCTGCCTGGGGCCGTCTGCCGCAGGGGTGCCAAGTTTTCAATCGCATCTCAGACCCGGTGGGCCAACACGGCCATCTGATCCCAGTGCGACGCGAGCTCGCTGGAGCCTCCCGTGGCGATGCTGGAGGTCAGACGCCTCACGCTCTTGTTGCACACGCCGAAACCGATGACGGACCCGCGGACCTGGCGCAGGAGCACCAAAGATCCACGGATCGTGGAGGAGGTGCTCTCCGAAGCACGAGGCCACCGCGGCCTCGTTCGGCGACAGGGCGCGCCGATGCTGCACGGAAGCGGGGCCCGTCGCCTATCCATGCAGCCCAACCTGCGCTTGCACACTCCATCCGCGGGAGGGTGAGGAGGAGGGGCCGGGGGAGGGAGGAGGAGGAGGGGAGGAGGGGGAGGGGGAGGGGGAGGGGGAGGAGGAGGGGGAGGAGGAGTGGGGGGGGACGATGGGGACGGGGAGCCCCCGAAGACGTGCCGAGGCTCCAGAGGCCGCCCGTCGCGCCTCCTCTCGCGGTTCCTCGTCCTTTTTTTTTGTTATTAAAAACAAAAATTAAATATAGAAATATAAATCAATAATGCATTTATTATCATGGCTATTCTTATCATTCTTCTTTATTTATGTCATGCTCCCACGCTCCCTGGCTTCCTCCTCGCGAAGAGCGGCCTCGGAGCCCATGCCACCATGAACGTGCACGTGATCTCGGTGCTATCTTCGCGCTGGCTCCTGCCCACCTGCACCCTCACGCGAGCGAAAAGAGCGTCCAAGACGGCGGGGAAAATAACCCTCACGACGATTCCACAAGGGTTGAAAAGCCAGTGGACGGTAACCACGACATCCAGGCATCACAAGACTGAGTATGATACGCAAAGACACCATCATATAGCATGATCGCAACGTTGACCATGCTGATCATCACCGGCACCATCGAAATCAACACCACAATCCAAACCCATCCACAACGCCATCAAACAACTGAACGAGCGTCATTACCAACACCATTCACATACGCACAACTAACACCATCATGATCATAAACATCGTCAACTTTATCACCATCTGCGTTCCCAAAAAGTTCGTCACGAAAGGTTGGCCTCTCTCCGAATCTACCCTGCGATTCGCATGCGATATGGATCATCCAATCAACTTGCTCCCAAGGTGCCAATTGCCATGACCTGCAACCCTTGACATCCGTTCTCGTGCGCGCTTTCGCGTCGCGCATGCCCTGCGGCTGCAACTTCTGTGGCTGCCGACGGCGTACGCGACGCCGATTTAGCGTGGGGACGGGGCCACTGCATTCGAGCCTCGAGTTACGAGCGCCGAGCGTGTCCGCATCCACGCCCTCGCGGTCTGTATTCTGGGGCGCGATCCCGCGGATACGCGGCCCCACACGGACACGTTCCGAGCGGAGAATCTGCCAAAAACGCGCGTCCGCATCCACGCGCCTAAGGGGGGCGTTTCTTTTGCATGCGTCCCTTCTTCAAGGTAAGCATGTGAGTTATCCGAGAGTCTACGTCCTCTCGACTGTAAGGGCAAGCCTGCTGCGACTGCAACCGGAGCAAGCAAGTCAAATCGGAAAACTGCCTGCCAGCACATGCCCCGCGGAAATGTCTCATCTCCCGGTGGCCCCAGGGACCTACAGAAGCCCTCGGGCACCTTAGGATCCTCAGAGATCGGCGAAGGCAGAGCCCCACGATTTCCCCAAATAATATTCATTACCGCATGTGTCTACTGTGATCGGGTATGATACACAGAGAGGGGGGGGAATCTGATGCTGTGCTGTCTTGCCGCCAAGTGTGTCTTCCCGCGCATGTTCTTTCCTCTCCTTTCAATCTCCTTCGGTCACCGTCCGTGTAGGAGTGAGGAGGAGGAGGCGGACACTTTCGGACGTATGCACTCGGCACTGCTTTCGTCAGTCTGTATCTGAATGATCGACGGGTATGTCTGTCTTCGCCTTTGCCATTGCACTCGACGGATGATGAAGATCATTCGCCACATTTCTGTATCATGCTGACGGATTGAGAGGAAGCCGGAATCCGTCGACCCCCGCTTGATGGGGGTGGACAGGCGCGTGAGAAATCAGTCTGTCCTCTTCAATTTTTCCCCATCCCCATGATTCCAAACCCCCTTTGACGGGGGGGGTGGGGATGTAAGAGCTTCCGGGCACACGTTCTGGGCCCTCCAGCGCATTGCCCAAGCGATGAGGCTTATAGGAATCGGGTGCGGGGGCTATGTGGCCTCTAACATATCGGGAATGGGCCACAATGGTCCCTCGTAGACTCCCAGAGCTGCCAAAATCGACTCCAAAGTAAACCAACATGACGCCTCAAATGGCCTCCAGCGAAGCCCTCGTAGGCGAAAACTAACAACAACTCATAAGAAAACCCCACCAGCCCATTGGGCGCAGGTGGTCCCGAGCGTTTCCTCATCCCTCTGCATTTATCAGCCTTCTGGGGAAGGGCTCATATAATAAACACTCCCTCCCCTAGGCGACAGGCAGCCAATCCGGACAAATGAACCCCCCCGACCATCCCATGGCAAGCAACAGTGCAGCATGCACCTTGCCTCCAAATCTAGAGCATGCGCGGGCGCCCCACGACCGCGCTGCGCTGGTTTTTGACAAGGACGGCGAGGGTGCCGACATAATGCTTGCTGCGCGCAAGGCAACCATCCGCGCCGAAAACAATGCAAATACACGGTGCCTCCGAATCCGGACCATGCGCGCGGGCCGCGCACACATTGCTTTTGTTTTTGGCAGAAGCATTTGCTGCCAACGCTGCCACGCCTGGGCCCCAAGGGTGCCTGGTGCAACTGCAACCCGTGACAGGACGGGTGGGAGTGAGCGAGACGGCTTTCGGGCAGCAGAGGTGTTTTGACCCCTCCCGCCCCCCCTCCCCATGGACCTGGATGGGGGGTTTCGCGGGTCGTTGGAGCGTGTAACATGGCCCTAAATGGCTCCAGAAGGGCCCCAGAGAACCCATGTTGACCTCCAAGATGGTTCAAAATAGCTCCAATATCTGCTTGTGATTAACAAATCCGTGGGGGGGAGCGTTCAAAAAAATAATTCCTCTGCGCGGGCGAATCGCGGGGTGGCGCCCGCCAGATTGAAAATCAACGGGGCGGCGCCGGTGATTAGCGCCAACGCCCGGCCGCCAACGAGAGGCAAGGAGGGGGGTCGGGAGGCAAGGGCGAGCCAGGGCGCCCCTCTTTCAGTCGAACCGATGCGGGCCTGCGGGCATGGCGGGCTGGACGCAACTTGGGCGCAGCAGAGGGGGGATTTGCCAAGCAACCCACATCGCCGATTTTACAAGCGCCTCGAGGAATGGCACTTCGGCGGGGCGACCGAAGCCAGCTGCACGCAGCAGGCTTCGCAACCCCCCGTTTCCTTCCCCAGCCTTTCGTCCGACCCGAGCAAGGCGGGTAGTTTTCCTCCCCCCCTCCGTCGCCGTCGTCGCCGCCGTCCCCCGCCCTGCCTGCGCCCTTTTCACCCGCTTTCTTCGTCGCTCGGGCCTGAGTGTCTTTCGCCACGGCGGAAGCGTGCCTTGAAGAAAGCGGGCCCTGGACCCTGGAGGTCGCCCTCTGTCGTTTTTTGGCCTCGCGGCCCGCCAGAGGCCGTAGAGGGGGGTCTGCCGAAGGCCTTAGCGGCCCGAGAGCGAGGAAAGCCCGCCAAGGCCCATTTCCTTCAGAACGCTCGCCCGCCGCCCGTGGTGGGGCCAACTAAAAAAAGGCACAAAGAGAGGTTTGGCACGTCCGGAGCGTCCTCATCCTCCTCCTCCTCCTCCTCGTCCTTTTCCCTCTCCTCCTCCTCGTCGTTTTCCGTGTCCTCCTCCGTCTCCTCCTCCCCCACCCACCTCCTCTCTCCTCCTCCCCCCTGTCGCGCGCGTTTTTTTTTTTTTTTTTTGTTTAAAACAAAAATAATATCACGCCCCACGGGGTCTATTTATCAGCCCATGTGTGTGTGGTCATTTGTTAAACACAAGCTGGCATTAGATGGTTTCCAAAAAACTTCAAGAGGCTCCACGACCGCTCCGAATCCAAGTGGCCTTGGAGCTTACCCAAGACGCCCCCAATGATGCCAAACTCCTTCCCAAATCCAGGGGGACTCATTCCTTTTGCCTTTTCAGGATTTCGCTTATGATGGCCTTCCGAGAGTTCAAGATGGCTCCAAGATGGCCCAACCGGCCCCCGAAAGAGGCCCAATATTGCCCCAAGGCGGCTCCAAGAGCGCTCCAAGAGCGCTTCAAGAGCATGCCGAACAACGATTTTCGAGGGTCTAGAAGGGGTAGTGTTACTTGATGGACCCCTCTGTTTGACCGAACTCCTCAAGGATAGCTTCAATAGAGCTTCCGAGGCCCAGAGGGGGCCCCAAGATGGCTCCAAGAGGCGCCCGAGAAGCCCCCAAAGGCCCCAAGAGACCCGCAAGAGGCGGATGTGATCCAGGGTTTCAGCTCGACGGTGGTCCTCGTTCGTTCAACTGGAATCTCCTGCAGTTCCCTGATCAGGGGAACTCGCCTGGGCATCGTTACTGGATGGGCTGGTGGGACTACGCGAAGCATCAAGAATAAGGTGCTCACTTCCGATGTTTTTCGGCTGAAGCCTTGGCTCGGTTAAACCTCCGGGAACCCCAAGAAGCCCACAGGGCGGCTCACTACAGCCCCAAGGCACCCACAAAGCTGCCCCGCATCCCCCCCCGAACGGCCCTGGGACGGCTCCAAGGCGCGCCCGGGCGTCCCCAGGATGGCTCAGCCGGTAGAGCCCAGGCATTCCCCAGGCGTCCCTCTTGGCGACCTGCAACATGTGATCAACTCGTACCTTGCTCTTGTCCTAAGAAAGAATCGACGGCATCTGTCCATCTACGTCGCGGCCAGCATCGGCGTCGAACTCCGGCCGGGCGCCATCGTAACATTTGCGCTGGCCACGTTTGCGGGTCACCAGTGGCAAGACGCGCCACAAGGCGCCACAGCCAGCGATCCATCACAACGAGCCAGTCTGACACAGGGAAAATGCCTAAAGCGACGCGCACTTTTTGCTTGCAGCGTCGCCCCGTTTCTTCCCAACTTTCGCTGGGATGCTTGTTGAAACCGAGCATCTTGCGCAGCATTTTTGCTCGCGTCGACGCAATCCGCGACCGATGGACTGCTGTCGTGGCTGTCGTCGAGAGACCGTAGACCACGGTAGGCGCAACAACCGCGTCGAAAGTTTCAAACGAAGGCGCAACGATATAACTTTATTCAACAGGGCTGTTTTGTGCAAGTGAAACTTACCCATGCGCACTTCATGCGATAATTTTCATTGCAATGTGATCTGCCGCGCAAGTCCACTCCGAATTCCTTGCCGAAATACTTGTGAACACCTGGGACGTCATGAAAGGCAACTGGAATCCGGTAAACTGCAGCATGAGAAGCTCTTCAACGTTGGGCACAGAAGCGTCGTTAGTGAATATGCGCGTCTTGTCTGCATTCAATGAAAAGCCGCACAGCATGCTGGATGTTGCTGAGTAACTTGACGTCTCCACGTCGAGGCCGCACTGCTGAGCTCGGACTATGAACCTCCGGATTGCGTGCTCCAGTCCAGCGTTGAAAAGCAGCGATGGCAACGCATCGCCTTGTTTGACTCCGCGCGTTATGCCAAACGCTGCGCTGACACTAGCGCTGTCCCGTTGGGCACTGTAGTTAGATGTCTGACAAGAGACGCACGTATTCAACATCAAGTCCCTGTTCCGCCAACGCTTGCAAAAGCACGTGATGCTCCAGCCTGTCGAAGCTTTAGTGAGATCGATGCTCCCCCCCTTCACGCGGGCCCCAAAACGAGCCACAGGATAGCGACCCAAGAGCCCCCCCCAACGGGCCCAAGGTGCCTCAAATATGGAACAAGCAAGTCTTCAAGAAGCCTTTGCGATGTTCTCCAGAGGGAGGAGGGGAACGAGGGTGGAGAGGAACAGGAGAAGGTAAAAGGAAGGGCCACTGGGGAAGTGGATTCTGAATGAGCAATCGGAGGGAGGACCGCGCCGGTTCAAAGAAGGCACTGAACCAAGCAAGGCACTGGTCTGATCCAACGGGTACAGTGAAACAAATAGGGCACTGAACCAGACCAAGGACCTCTTTCCTGCCCTCTTCGGGGGAGCCCTCTGGAACAGTCGCGCCCAAAACGGCCCCGAGACCCTCCGCGGACCTACGGCTGGCCCCAACAGGCCCCTAAGAGTCAGTGCGCTCCTTCCGCACCACCATCATCTTGCCCATCTTGCTCCTTAGCCTTGCATGCAGTCTGCTATACTGACTGCTTCTCTCCTTTCCTTCAACTACACTTTGACTCTAGGGAAACGGAAAAAAGGAGCGAGCCTGCGGCGCGCGCGTGCGTCGGCCGGCGGGCCGGCCTCCTCCCTTCAGTGTTACTCTAGTGTATGCTTGACGGCATTATCCCTTCTTTCCCATGTCATCGGCGAAGCCCACTGACCATGATATATCAACGGAACATCTTGCAGGGATTATGAATGTCCAGGTAAAAAGTGGTTATCAGCCGAAGGTCTCTCCAGGAACTCGTCTTCGGTGGTGCGGCCTTTTTCCCAACAGTCAGAGAGATAGCAATGGTGGCTTTACCAAAAAGGGGGCTTCGCAAGTGCGTTCTGATTATCCATGAGCGCCTAACGCAAGGGTCGGGTGGCTCACACCCCTGGGCCGTGGTGAGAGTCCGCTCATGGAAAAGGGGCCGTCGCCCGGCTTAGCTGCGGTTGCCGGCGGTGTCACGAAAGAGGGGGCAGTTGTTTCCTCCTTTCATTGAAGGCCAAAGCAGCAGGTTCTCAGAGCCTGGTTTGACATCTTCTGGCAATTTTGGTGTGTACGAAGGAGTCCCAGAATACAGCCAGACACAGTGTACCTTTGCATTCAAGAGGTGCGCGTGGTGTTTTCGCACAGTCGGAAGCAGAGGCGTCGTTCGTGACAGCGTCGGCCTGCCCCGTGTGGTTGGATGTGGCAGGTCCTGAAGAGGATAGGAAACCACACGCCGAAATGCTGGAGACGGACTGGACCAGGGGTGCCCGAAAGAGTGGGCATACTCAGTCCTAGACCAGAAAGGGAACCAAAGGAAATTGCGCAGTCAACTGCTTCTCGGGGACCCTGGCGCGGTTGTCCGTTGTCAGGCGAGCCTGAGGCGGATGTACAAATAATGCCTTGTATGTTGCACTAGTATGGATATGCTTGGCGAGTGACTCTAAGAGGACCCAAGGCGCCCTCAAAAAACCACCGCGATGCCTTCAAGGGAAGAAAAGAAGGAAGGCATTGAAGCCGAATAGCAGGAGGAATCAAGAAAACTGAGGAGACCGAGGCTGCGGACACCCCGGGGGCGTTCAAGACCCGAGCCAAATTAAACAACTCACCTATCTCACCTCTACTGCTCCCCCGCACCTCCCGCCTCCCTTCTCTTCCGCTCCATGCTCCTGCTGCTCCTTACCCCTTTCCTTCGATTGTGTCGGCGGGATGGCGCAGGCCACCTGGATCACGGTGATAAAGATGATGAGACGCGGTGGGGGGGATAAGCAGGATGAGAAGGTGGAGGATGAACAACAGCTGATAACAATGAGGCGGAGAGGCTGGAGGACGATCAGGGAAGAAGACACATGAATCTTTGATGCTGCCCGGGGCACATCTTCGAGTCCACGTCTTTAGCACGGTACCCTGTGAGATACAATTTACATCGTTCACAGGTATGCACCCGCTGGGAGGCGTCCTCTTGATGGTGGCACTGGCCTGGTGTAAAAACGTCTTCTGAAAATGCCAGCTTTTGAAGCATCCCCTGCCGCCTGCGCCGCATCCCTTATCCAGCCCTGCTGTCCATCAGTGTGAGGAACGGTTTTGTGCCGCACTTCTTGCGGCGAACCTTCCCGCCCTCTGCATGAGAGTTGCACGGCGCAAGACCAGGAGGATGAAGCATGAATGCTGCAGGGCGAACGAAACGAAAAGCAGCATCGCAGAGGAAGGGGAGGAGGGGGGAAGGGAGTGTGGGTGTGGAGGAGGGAGGAAGAGGAGGAAGAGGAGGAGGAAGAAGAGGAGGCGGAGGATCGGAGGAGGAGGAGGCTCCTCCTCCTTCTGCCTCCCTTCCCTCCATTCTTATTCCTTGAATCGCCGAGTCCGCCTGGAAACAAACTTCGCCGAGACCCACTGGAGGCACACCTGGGGGCCACGCGCCAGATGTGTACGCGGAGGCCTGGAACGCTCTGCCACGGGAGGGCCGAGCGCTTGAAAAGCGTCTGTTGGGAAGGGACCGACCGTCCCGGCATTCCTATAGGACTACCATGACACGTTCTTAGAACGAAAAACGTTCCACGGCAAGTTCGTGCGGCGTCGGCGCGCGCAAATTTTTTTGGCACCGCGTCGATCGTTCAATCTTGAAACCGATCGCCGCCCCGATCGTTCAATGTTGAATTCCGTCGGGTCCTGTGGCGTTACCATGTCCCTCAATGATTCCGCGTCGCTCTTTCATGCGGAATTCAACCTTGAACTCCTTCGCCAGCGTCGCCACCGCGCCAGCGCCGCATTAATCTAGTGTAAACACGATACAACATTCTTAGAACAAGTCGACATGTAAAATAACACGGCCTCTGTTCTCATAGCTTTTCAGAACCACACAAGGTTTTTGGAACCGTCTTTGAACCTGGCCACATGCGTATCCAGCTCTCGCCCAGGTCGGCGCGTCATGTGCGCGCGGGCATACATTCTCGACGTCTGTGCTGCTCGGACAGGCGAGAGCGGGGAACACGAAGGCTCTGGGGCCACGCCGGGACGCATGTCTGGCCGAAGCCGGCGGGCTCCCACGACTTGCCGACCGCAACGTCTCAACTTGCTGTTTATCGGCCGACGTTTCGGCAAGCGCCCACAAGTACATCCGCGAAAAGAAACAGGTCTTACGCGAGATGGCATATCGCGACCTTGCGCGGCGACGCGGGCCGCCAGCGCGGCACGCCTCGTTGGAAACGAGGGCGCTTACGCGTGACCTTACGCGGGCAGCCTGCGCGCGAATGTTTGCGCAATTGATTTGTTTTGTTGTCGCTCACCTGGAATCTCCAGTGTGCCCTCAGTCGACCGATGTTTTGGCCCGTGTCCACAACATAAGAAAACATTGCATACACATTAACTGTTGGAAGTCCGCACGGATTTCTTGATCCGCGCTGACCCCCCCAGCTTGGCGCCCGGAGCGCGGAAGGGGCGGCGCCAGAGGAGCCGCCAGTAGGAAACGAGAAGACGACCTGAACATACATAGCACATGGTTTTTGGGCTGAGCGCCAGGCCTGCGCGCGCAACATGGCACGCGCGCCGACTACGCCGGGCGGGCAGACATGGGAGATGCACCGAGGTCGCCAACCCTATTCGCTCGTTTCGGAAACTACCTGATAATCAAAGGAAACGATCTGTCTCCGTGGATGCTTCACGTTGTATTGTCAACATCGCGGGACCTGATTCAACGTCCCGTGACGGAGTAGGGTGACTGGCGACGGGGTTGCGAGGGGCCCAGGGGCCCCAGCGCGGCATGGAAAGCGCAACCGAGATGGAATTTAAGGACAATCCGAAACCGCTGGTTCACGGAGTTCCCAGAACGTTTCTCGAACATATTATATACGTCACTCGATGGTTCGAGCGGTCGCGCGCTTTCTGGCTTCATGTCAATGCCGCGGGCCTCTTGTTCTCTGTCATATCAAAACTTTCTGCCATTGCAGGAAGCGAATGACGTAGTGAAACACACTAGCAGTTCCCCGCACGCGCCTGAACATCTTTGCGATCTCATTATCGCGCGTGCCCCCTTGAACAAGCGGGCACACAGGGCGCGTGCCAGCCAGCGCCGCAAACCGCGGCTCGAAAACGAATGCGACGGGCGACCATAGCGCGCGCGCGCGTGGCGACGCGTAGACGATTACCCTCGTGCTGCTCGGACGCGCGCTCATGGACGGGGTGAATGCGTGAATCACGCGATCAACAGCTCACAGCCTGCCCATTGTCGCAGAATCATACAGCACGCATGTCGTACGTATGTTTGTGTGAGCGTTGATCAAACACGGGTCTTACGCGACATGACACAGCGACCTTACGCGGCGGCTTACGCGGGCCGCCAGCGCGGCACGCCACTGGAGACGAGGGCGCTTACTCGCGACCTTACGCGGGCAGCTTACGCGTCGATGTCGGCGCAAACGACCCCGCTTTTTTCCCGTCGTTCATGCGGTCGTCATGTTCCTGAGCCAGGGGGTCTGGCGAAGATCCAGCGAATCCGCGCAGATCTTCGAACATGTATGGCAAACAACATTTCCTTCTTCGAATCCAGCTCCCCAGACATCCGGCTGCTCCAACTTTGCGGGGAATGCTTCGGTCCATATCCTCTGCAGCTTGGACATTCGGGCTCCCTTCATCAGACACCCGTGGTGCACTGGATGTGGATAAATCTGCCTCATAGAGGCTCGACGTTTATCCAGATCCAGTGCGCCTCGGCCTTGTGGCGCCCCTTCCAAGAAAATCCAAGACGCACTGGATATGGTTACAGCTCTTGCCCGCAAACTTTTTCGATGCGTGGGCCCCGGAGGTCTGGGCCACTTCCCCGGGGCCGGCCTCTCGCCCCGGGCCGTTTCCTTACGCTCCCGAGGCCCGGGCGAGGGCCCCTGCGAAGCCGAAAACGGCCAAGACCTCGCCGCTCCACCGGTTTTGGGGTGTCGGACCTCGGGGGACGTCGGGCTGCGTGTGGTTCCCCTTCCTGCTCTCGGCCTGTCCTGGGGGGAGCGTCCCGATTCGAGTCTCGAGACGGGCCTCCAGCCGCGGCGAGGAGGACCCCCCCTCAGGAGGCACAACGAGCAAGAACAATGGAGGCGTCAAAATCCTCCACTAGGGGGAGGAGGAAGAGGAAGAGGAGGAGGAGGAGGAGGAGGAGGAGGAGGAGGAGGAGGAGGAGGAGGAGGAGAAGGAGGAGGAGGAGGAGGAGGAGAGGAGGAGGAGGAGGAGAAGGAAGGGGAGGAGGGGGGGGAGGACAAGCTAGGTGCGCTCGCGTCATATCTGACGTCCTAAGGAATGGGTGCGGCGCGGTGGTGGCGGGCGGATGGGCGCGCGAGAAAGAGGCCCGCGCTGGGGCGAGAACGCCATCCTTAACGACGGAGGCCAAACACCGATCCGAAAATGAGGCCCACGCTGCAGCGGGAGCACGATTCGGAACGATTCGGGAGCAGAAATGAGGCCGGCGCCTCAGCGAGAGCATCATTAACAAAAAAACGCAAGCGAAAACCCGTTTCCCGGGAATCCTGTGTGTTAAAAACAATACGCGGGGGGCGTTCGGCCCGAAAATGACGCCGGCGCATCAGCGAGAGTCGTTTCCCGGGATTTCCCGGGCATCCTGTGTGTAAAAAACAGTACGCGGAGAATGCGCGGCCATCACCCGGACGCCATCAGGGGAAGAGGGAGAGTATTTTCATATTGAGCAATTGTGGAGGAGGCTCCCTGCTGGACGCTGCCAGCGCGCTGCCGCCCCGACGGGCACCACACCTGGCGCGGAGGAGGCGCTCCCCAGCGGGTGCTGCCGGCACTCGGCCTCCCACAGGGGAGCTCCCGGCGCGGGGCGCCCCGCCGCATGCCACGCGGGGTCCCCCGCGCCGAGCGTGCAGAGACCTGGAGGCGCCCACGTCGGGGTTGGCTACGCGCAGGAAAGACCCTGGGTACAGTGGGACCTAGGCCAGAAGAGCATCCCTCAAGAGCACGAGGCCCTCCGCCGGCCCAAACTGAACATTCGAGGGTGCTCCCCCCCAGGGTGCACAAGACCATCCAACAAACACGAGCAACATCAGGGCACCCTCCCCGAACTGTATGCAGCACCCCGCAGATGCGAATATCAGTGAGCGGGGCGGGCGCGGGGTGGGTCGCTGGTGGGTCGTGGGATGAGTCGCGGGGTGGGTCGCGGGCGGGTCGCGGGCGGGAGCGACGACAACAACAGCGCAATAACAACAAGCAGAATCCGCGCCGCGGTCCGCGCAAGTGCCGTCGGGCCATAGTTTGCCACGCTCCCAACAGGGTCTGCACTCAGTCCAGCGTGTGCTCGCTGGGCTCGCTGGTCTCGCTTGTCTCGTTCTGCTCGCCTGTCCGTGCCTCGTGCGATTGGGCTGGCCCTCCAGAAGGGGTCGCAGAGTTGTCGATTTGTCTTTCCTGATTGTTTCGTTGAAGAAAAGTGCTCGCCCAGCCCGTCCAAGAAACTGTTTTTACGCGTCTGGCGATAGCCCAGCCTATCAAGCCCGCCCGCCCCCCCCCCCCCAGATAACCTGGCCTTGCCGGTTGCGCAGGTCCGAAAGGTTACGCAGTCCTGGTGCGCGCGGGCATACGTGGGGCTGCCCAAAGCGCGAAGGTTCGACTATCGGCCCGAACCTCCCCCCTTCCCCGCACTGGACTACTACTGCTACTACTGCTACTGCTACTACTACTACTACTACTACTACTACTACTACTACTACTACTACTACTGCACTACTACTACTACTACTACTACTACTACTACTACTACTACTACTACTACCGCTTCCGAACATGATCAGAAGAATAGTGGTAATACCAATAAGACTACTACTGCTACTGCTACTGCTACTACTACTACTACTACTACTACTACTACTACTGCTTCCGAACATGATCAGAATAATAGTGGTAATACTAATAAGACTGCTACTGCTACTGCTACTGCTACTACTACTACTACTACTACTACTACTACTACTACTACTACTACTACTACTACTACTACCACTACCACTACTACCACTACCACTACTACTACTACTACTACTACTACTACTACTACTACTACTACTACTACTACTACTACTACTACTACTACTACTACTACTACTACTACTACTACTACTACTACTACTACTACTACTACTACTACTACTACTACTACTACTACTACTACTACTACTACTACTACTACTACTACTACTACTACTACTAGGAATAACACTACTACAATGGTGATACCAGCAATACGAAGAAGGAGCATGATGATACTAATTCTAATAACAAGAATACCCCACATAAAAACAAGACGGGGGCCATGAAATCTGGGAGACGTCATGGCCGTGGCCATTTTCTTTCCCCCCACCCCATCCTCGCGGCCCTCTTGGGCGCCCCCGATGGTCAAGAGGCACTTGGCCGATTCCGGAGACACAGGACCCAAACATGTTGGCGTCTCCTTCGTCAACACGGGCGAAGCGGGCCCTGAGGGAAACGGGTCCTGGACCCTAGGGCCTCTCCCCAAGACGAGCGCTTCCATCCCGGGTCGTTTTCTGACAATCCTGGGGCCCCTGGAGGGCTCCGAGCGCCCGAGAACGGCGGGAAGAGCTCAGGACCCGTTCCCCTCAGGACCCGTTGCCCCCATGGCGCCTTCCGCCGGCGGATCCGCGGCTGCTGTGCTTCCGCCCGCTCCCGCCGAAAGAGCGAGGAGGTGCGCAGACGACGAGGGCCCTTTTTTTTTTTCTCTCTCTCTCTCTCTCTCGCGCTCTCTCGGAGAAGCGCCGCGCCTCTGGCCACCTCCACCACCGCTGGGCTCTCGGGAGCGGAGGCCCGAGCGGTGTGTCGGCGATCCAGCGGCGGGCGCACCCAGACGGGGGCATGCCCATCCGGACTCCAGCGCGGTGGTGGTCAGGCACTCGTTGGCGGGGAGACGGGGCTGGGAGGACGGGAGTGGAGAGGCGCACGTGCTGCGTTTTCGGGGGCGAAGGCCCGAGCGGTGGTCGGCTTTCCAATGGCAGGCTGACCCCAGACAGGGGTATTCCCATGTGTGCGGCAAAAACAAAGTCTACGCGAGATGACACACCGACCACGCAGGCACCCAGCGCGGCACGCCATACTGGAGACCAGGGCGCTTATGCGCGACCTTTCGCGGGCAGCCTACGCGCGAATGTCGGCGCAGAAGATCACGTTCTTTGGCGTCGCTCATAAGGCGCTCACATGGCGGGCGTCGGGTGGTGGCCAAGCACTCCCTGGCGAGAAGACGGGAGTAGGAGGACGGGAGTGGCGGACAGAGGAGGGGCGGGGGAGAGCAAATGAGGGGGGAGGGGGGTGGGGGGGGTGGGGGGGGAAGAAGGGAGAGGAGTGGGGGGGGTAGGGGGAAGAGGAGGGGAGGGGGGGGAGGGATGGGGAGGAGCTGAAAGAGGGGGAGGGAGCTGGAGGAATGGTGGGGGAGACGGGAAGCTGGGGGAAGGGGGGAACTGGATGGAGCCTGGAGGCCTCGCGAGCCCCCAGGCAGGGCTCCCTGCAGGGTCCGACGACGAGCGCGCACGCGCACCTGCCGACGCCACGGCGTGCTCGCGCCTCGGGGTGGTGCGCGGGAAGCTGCCGCGTGCTGGGTCTCTCTGCAGCCCTCCGCCCCGGGAGCCTTCCGCCAGTTGCTCCAGGTGCCCGTGCAGGCTGCGAGCATGGCGAGCAGACCTCGGCCGCTGGCGTCGGGGACAGTGCCGGAGATGCCAGAGAGGGAGGGCGCCTCCTCTGTCCACGCCTCCACGACGCGAGTGCCATTCTCCTCTCTCCCCTGATGCTGCACGGGTTTGCCCCCGCCTCTCCCGCGTAGTCGTACACGCGCGCACGATTTCATGTGTTGGTGTTTGCTGTTGATTCGATCGGAGAGTTCTCTGTCCTTCAAAAACGGGGGTCCCGCTACAACATTGGCCACGTTCTAGGGTCGGTGCGCGAGTCCCGTCGTTCAGATTGGCCCCCTTCCCGTAGCGCGGACCCTATTTCTGGCTCCGGCTCATTCCTCGTCGTTGCCGTCCCCATCCTTTTCCCCTCCTCCACTCCCCTTTTTTTCCTGCTCCTCTTACTCCTCCTTCTCCAACTTCTGCTCCTCCTTTCTCATCCTCTTCCTGCTCATCCGCCTCCTCCTCCTCCTCTTCCTCCTCTTATTCCTTCTACTCCTCTTCCAATGGACATAGCAACGGCCCTTTTTTCCGATCGCTCGGATCGAGGTCCTCCTGGACACCCTGGTGCAGCAGAAAGAAAAAAGGATTCAACGCAATTTGCAGAGATGGGTGGGAGGGGTCCGATGTCAGATGTGGCGCGGGGGCACATGGCTTGACTCTCCTACAACCCCTCCCCCCTCCCTCCTCACTCCCTCCCTCGCCATGCCTGCGCGGGGCAGCCGGGTACGAAGCTAAGTGAGGCAGACCCCGGAGAGGCTTGGGCGATGGCAGTGGGGAGGGCGCTGGAGTGGAGGGCGAGGAGGGGAAGAAGTCAGACTAGAACCATATCATTTGAGGAGTGGGGGGCGGGAAGATGAGTGGATCTGTTACTGCCTGATCGCAATCACGATCCCCTGTGCGCATCCGGATTGGTTCCCGAGAGCCGATGGTACTGCTTCGCGCGAGGGAACCAATGTGAAGCGCTGACTCACATACGTGGCCTGCACAATGCGAAACAACGCGATACTGCCAGAACGAGACTGCCAGAATGAGAAGTCTTTAAACACTTAACAGGAGATCAGGCCTTCAAGAGACTGGACGAGCCGAAATCTCTAGGACCAGCGGACAAGCAGACAGGCGCAGCCTGATTGACACCATAACCACTGTACCCATACGACCACCCTCCGGGTGATAAGGAGGTTGTGGGGTGGGGGAGAGAGGGGGAACCAACATCTGCCTCAATCGATCTCACTATCGATCTCACTCAACGGGACACCACGGGACACCACGGCACACTTGTCGATCTCACTATCGATCTCACTCAACGGGACACCACGGGACACCACGGGCCACCACGCGACACCACGGGACATCGCGGGACACCTCTCGATCTCACTATCGGTCTCACTATCGATCTCACTATCGATCTCACTCAACGGGACACCACGGGACACCTCGGGACACCACATCGATCTCACTATCGAGCTCACTCAACGGGACACCACGGGACATCGCGGGACACCTGTCGATCTCACTATCGGTCTCACTATCGATCTCACTCAACGGGACACCATAGGACACCACGGGACACCACATCGATCTCAATATCGATCTCACTATCGATCTCACTCAACGGGACACCACGGGACACCTGTCGATCTCACTATCGATCTCACTATCGATCTAACTTTTTGGGACACCACGGGACACCTCGGGGCACCACATCGATCTCAATATCGATCTCAATATCGATCTCAACGGGACACCACGGGACACCACGGGACACCACGGGAAACCGCGGGACACCGCGAGCCACCGCCAGACGGACGGACGGACGGGCGGGCGGGGGATAATCATTTGTCTTGGCTTCGCCCTAGCAGCGGCGGGTTCATTCCTCTCGCGCGCCCACGCAGCTTCGCCTCGCCCGCACGCGCGACACGAACGAAACGAAACGATTTCCTGGCTGGGGGTCTCCGTTTTACTGTGATCTCATCTCCCGACCTCCGATCGCATGCAGCATCATGCCATCTGGAAACGAAGCGCGAGCGGCGTCTGCGTGCATATCCGCAGACACGAAGCTGCTACGCGGTACACTCCAGCAGTAGCATCATTCAGACGGCGAGGCGCGCCCCTTCATGCTGGCAGGCATGCATGCATGCAGACCGCTGAGCATGTGCACCACTGTATTCTTTCGCGCGCGCATGCAATTAGCAGCGTACGTGCATGCGCACTGGCATGCATGCAAGCATGCATGCAACATGCATGGCGAACATCGGCGGGCGCATACAATTGCAGGTAGGCGCATGCAGACGAACACATGGACTCGCATCGACGGGCGACCGAAGGGGTATCACGCCTGCAAGCACTGCGAGTCTGAATGGAATTGAATGTTAATATGCCTGGGGGTGCAGACGCAGCGAAAGGAACACACCAAGGATATGAATACAATGAACGAGGTAACGAGACAAGAGAGAGCGGGAGAGCGATATAGAGAACGAGAAATAGAGAGAGAGAGAGAGAAAAAACACACTAAGTGAGGACCCGAACTCTTCTGAGACAACGGCGCGTATCCTCCCCTCCTCTTGTCCCGTGTTCTCTCGTGTGCTTTGGTCACTGCCTGCCCTTCGAATTGTGCAATGTGTGATGCAAGCGGCCCGAAACCGTGGGAATCCTGATTGATTTGCTCCCATGCGGTGGTTCAAACCTGTTTCTCATTCTCTTCTTTTTCGCCTGGCGCGCTATCGTTTGGAATTGCTGGTGGCAGACTGCCCACCCCGACCAGAAGCGGTGACACCACTCAACCTGTCCAATCCGCTCTGAGCGCTGAAAGAGTAGCCTGTGTGAACACATGCCTGTATTCATTGTTTGTGCACTAATGTTTTGAGTGGGAGGCTTTGTTAATCACAACTGCGCTCACGAACACGACTTTGCATATTTTGTCATGCCCGACTCCTATCAATGAAGCAACCTCCTTCACAATAACGGCAATCCATGTTAATAGTATCCCTGGGAATGCCTTGGTCACCTTCGAATATACAATTCCTGCACACAACTTCACACACTTGTGGTTGACACCCGCGCTTCGAACCCTACGCCACCGCGTCCACAACATATGGGCGTCTGGTGCAAACATGCTGTGTTTCCCGCTGGTCCAATCTTGCAACTCCCACGGGGCACAACGAAAATGGTGAATCGGCAACGCGGGCGCACAATTCCTGTGTAACGCTGCAGGCTACATTCATACTAATGGGCACTCTCAGGCAAAATCGCCTCGGGTGGGCATTCGGATTTTCAGCTTGTGGCTGCCATATCGAAACGAAGCGTCGCTGCCTCAAGAAGCGTGGCTGCCCCCCCCCCCCGAAGGCGCACTCAGCTTGGCCGCCAGAATTCGGAAATTGGCCGCCATGCCCAGCAGCTCGAGGCAATGGAACAGGCGCGGGTCGTCGGGGCCCTGCCCTTGCCGTCCCGTGTCCGTGCCGTTGGCATGTACAAGAACTCCGAACTCATGCACGCCTTCCTGTTATATTCGGCGGCGCGACCGGAGGAAGCGAGATGGGGCGGGCCTTCTCAGAAGGCTCAGAATCTCCCCGGCTTTCTGAAAGGTTATCTGGGCCTTCCCCGAAGACATCGCAAATTTCTCAGGAGGCCAGAGGGCTTCTGAGAAGTCCCGCCGCCTTCTCGGACGGCCTTTTCCTTCTCACTTCCCCCCCCTTGCTCGCCGCCGATACATGTTGCTTTCCTGGGCTGGCTACCGAGGACACGCTTGGCCGAAACACGCCTTATGCCGCTGCCTAGTGTTTGCAGTGAAGCAACACACGCAGTCAATGTGATGGTCTATTTCACTGCTCCTTTCCCTGGATACGAAGCTGATGAGCCCATCCTCGAGCAATGTATATCACTAAAGCAGAGCTGCGCCGCGGCGCGAAGCGAAGTAGAGAACGGCAGTCGTCGAACCGCACGAGTTCACGCGCAGAACTCGACATCAAGCCATCGGTCGGTGTGTTTTCTACGTGGGACTGAATCACGTCATTCCAGCGCTCGTCGGTCATGGTGCCCCTTATAGTTGCCAAGCAGCGAGATGGCTGGGCATTACGAATACGATGACTGGAGTAAGCTGTGGAAGTCCAAACCCGAGAATGCGACAACAGAGAGCCAGGAGTGTTAGTGTTCATGGAATGCTGCCCTGATATCGCTTCGCTGTAGGTTCTCATGAACGTACGAAGGAGTGCAGACACTTTCCCAAGGGTGCCCTGGCAGCTTCCCTGGACGCTTCCTTGGACTCTGCCGTCGCCTATTCTCCTGTACAGTAAGATGCCCGTTAGGCACTTGTGAATGCGTTGCGATGGAATCGCGAGCGTGAGCCTAGTGGTCCAGCGAATGGTGAGAAAACATGTTTTCAAAGCGGAATCTTTTTTCTTGGGGGGGGCAACATCAAACCCCTCTCAGGATTTTCTCAGAAGGGAGGAGGAACATGGACGACTATGAAAAATAGAGCGCGGATGAGAAAGAGACAGCGCTGCATAATGTGCGAGTGTGCGCGCGACCGCGGCCGAAGTGGCCGCCACCCCACCAGTCGCATCTGAAACAGCATATAGATCCAACAAGCACTCTGGGCGGAGGTGATTCAGCGAGCCCATACTGTTCCACCCCCTTCTTCCCCTTCGGGGAGGGATTTATCACTGCTCCTTAATAATTCGCCGGCCCAACGGGCCAGAGGCGTGCTAAGATCTCCGATAACTGCTAAATAATACTTCTACTTCGCGCGCGCGGGTCGGCCCCTGGGTGTCCCCGGACGAAAAGTACCCCGGGAGATCCCCGGCAGACTCGGGTCAGAGATGGTTTTCCTCCTGGGCGCCGCCCCCGTGGCCCTCCAGAGAGGCCCAAGAAGGGCCACGAGGCCGCCAAGAGCCCTCCAGGATGGTTCAAGAGTGCTCCGAGATGCCACGCGATCGTTCCAAGACGCCCAAGATGGCCCCCGGACGCCCCAAGAAGGCCCCAAGATGGCCCAAGAGGGCTCCAAGACGGCCCCAGAGGCATCCAAGACGGCCCAAGAGAGGCCCAAGAGGGCCCCAAGCGATGCCCCAAAGGGGGAACACAAAACAAAACTTCGAGCCCTCGGCCTTATGAAGCCCCCAGGCCCCAAAGGCCCCCAAGAGGCCCTCAGGAGGCCCCCAAGCGGCGCTGAAGAGGCCCCCCAGCGGCCCCAAGAGGCTCAGTCATGCGAAATGGGCCAGCGGAATGAGCGAAGCGATTCAATATACCCCCTTTCCCCAGGCGACCGGTGGTCAACCAGGCACCATGTCGACACCATGCCGACCTGCCTCCCACCATCCCTGTCAAAAAACAATATAAACAGCACTCTGCATCCACATTTGCAGCATGCGCGGCCGATCCGATGCGGCCCTCCCACCATCCCTGTCAAGAAAACAATGCAAAGTACACTTTGGAGCCAAGTCTTGGGTTATGTTCGTGAGGCCCGCGAGCACTTTGCATTGTTTTTGACAGGGACGGCGGGGGTGTCAGCATATTCCCTGCTGCGCGCAGGGCTACCATCCGTGATAACAAGCAATACAACATGCACCCCGCGGCTCAATCTGGATCATGCGCGGCCATCCAGCGATCACTGTCAAGTGGTTTTTGACAGGGACGGCGGGGGTGGTGGCGCGTGGCCTGCTGTGCAGGCGCACCAAACACGATGATGGCATCGGTTTTCGACAAGGATGGTGGGGGCCGACATGTTTCACGATGTGTGTTGTCACGTGCGCAAGCGCACCTGACGCACTCTGCGCGTGCCCCGAACGCGGCGCACCTGGCGCGGCTGGAGTGCGCGGCACACTTGGCGCACTCGGAGCACGTAGCGCATCTGGCGCACCAGGCGTGCCTGGCACGCTCGGGCCCCAAAGGTGCCTGGCGCGCATGGCGCCCCTGGCGCGCGTGGCGCACCTCGCCCAAGCGTCGCGCACCTGGGGTCGGCTTTGGTTCCCAGTAGCTGTCCATTCGAAAACGACCGCTGAACATGCTCGGGCTCGGGTGTTACTTATGTGGAGGGAGGGCGAGTGGCAGTGAACAAGACGGCTTGCGGGCGGGTGGGTAGCTTGACCCCTCTCCCTCCCCCTCCCCCTGGGCCTCGAGGGGAGGGGGGCGCGGGTGATTGGAGCGTCTGTTTTGGCCTAAGATGGCGCCAACACAGCCCAAAAAAACTCAAGATGTCCTCCAAGATCGCTCAAGATAGCCCTCGATGGCTCAATATCGTTCCTAACAAGCCTACACGAGGCTCCAAAACCGCCCCAATACGGCCCCAAGTGGCCACGGAGCCTCCCAAGGACGCCCCCGAGAGGCCACGCTCCTTCAAATACTTGAGGGCGTTCAAAGCCTTCAAAAACAGCCGCACAATAGGGCCCCAGGAGGTGACTTTTCGGGTTCCGAAGGGGGGGCGTAATTGACGCCGCGCTCCTTTTTGAGCCGTGGCATCCAATATGGTCCCAAGAGACCTCCCGACCCCCCCCAAAAAAAAACCCCACGAGGGCCCCAAGACCCCCCAAAAGAGCCCCAAGGGTGCCCCCCGAGGGAGGCGCCACGAGGACCCCAAACGAGTCCAGAGACCTCCTGCTCCGCCTCGTCCTCCTCCCACTGCACCCACAAGAATGTAGAACAGCAAGTCGGTAGGAGGTGTGCGGAAGAGGAGGAGATATGCGAGAGCAGGAGGAGACACGCCCGAAAGTCACGGCCGTCGGTGTGCGTCGCAGAATGTGCTGTGTTGGGATGGGCTGGTGGTGGTACTTTTTGGTTAGCGGCTCCAAGGCGACCGCCAGGGAGCGGGAGCGACGTCCGGGGCGGCGGAACGGTGAATTTGCGAACACGGCCGCCAGTGTCGGGTAGCCAGCTCGCATAACTACAACAGAAGCAACTGCAGTAGGACATGCAATGAAAGCAAACGCACGTGCAATAAGCAACATGCTCTACATTCAGGAGCGCTGGTGGTGATACGCGAAGCGTGAACAATTGAACAGTCGCTGGGCGAATGTCCGCACAACTCCTGCGGACAGGCCGCCACCGTGCGCACAGAGAGGCAGCCCTGGCGCAACACACAGCGACTGGACAGCAAGAGGAGATGAGGAGGTGTATGAAGATCGGCTACGCGCAAGAGTGACCCTGGGTAAGAGTGGCCTTTGATGCGCGGCTTTTTGGCGGCCGCGGGGGGGCCAGTAGCAAGCGCGCAAGACGCCTCTGCGGTGCACCCGTGGGCCCGCACCAAAGGTCACTCCGACGAAAAGTTATCCATACGTCTAGTCGAGAAGAGCGGAAAGGAGCATCGAGTGCCAGGCGCTCGCGCTCGCCAACCGAAGCACTCGGAGTTGTAGAAAGGCCTAAATGTTGCGGCCACCACCACTGCAGTCCAGGAGACAAATACCATGTAAACATCAACTGTTTGCAGCGTGTTTTGTCTGTCGCCTCCCCGCCGCACCTTTCTCAATTATCACTGTCCCGACGCCCCGCTTCTGTGAAGCGCGCTACCGCCAACAATGTGTATTGAGGACGCGTGGTGAGGACGCAAGGCCTTTTGAGTTCGAAGTTGGGATTTGTTCGGCGGCGAGCGACAAAAACCCCAGAGACGCAAACGTACCCTAAACTAGGGAGAGGCCAGTGAAAACGGCAAAGGGCGGTACCCTATATGAAGGCCCGCGTCCTTACCAAGCGTGTTGACTGTATCCAGCCTTCTTCGAAACAGTTGGCTGCGGCGGCCACGTCTTGTTTCAGGGCTCGAGCCAAACAGTGTTTTGCGTCTTCGTTTTATGCTTGTTTTGATTCGTTCTGCCTTCGTTCCCCCCCTGCTGCAACAAGATATCAACACGAAAGCGACCCACGGAATCGCATACACACCGCTTAGCTCGAGCCCAGTCTTGCTCCCCCCCTCGCTCAGCAGTGCCTCCAGCAGCCCGGTGGAGGCCGCGGAAGCTGGGGAGACCAAAATGTACCCATACCGCCACTCCCCGGACCTCTCCCGGGGCGCGTTCTGGCTAGGATTTCGAAGCGAATCCAGCGGTGACGACAAGGGCCTTTCAGGAGGCCCGAAAAATGGGGAAACGAGGAAAGGGTAGAGGTATGGGTACACGTCGTTCAGTTCTAATCGTGCTCATTTCTAATGCTCGCTTCTAATTGTTCCTGGCCCCCTAAGGGCCAGGAAGAGGCCGAGGATAGAACAATTAGAAATGAGAGGATCGTGGCCCCCCGAAAGCCAAGGAATTGTCGAAGAATTAGACATGAACAATGGGTACCTGTTCCTCCTGTGAGAAACAGGGGCGGGTGCCGAGCCTCCTTGGCCAAGAGAGGGCCCCGCCGTTCTCCCCCCCCCCGCTCCAAAACGCCACCCCCCAGAAGGCCTTGAAGGGGGGGGGGCTCCACCCGAGCCTCCGCCTCGTCAGAAACGATTCGTTACTCTGCGGCGAGCTGGAGGAGGAGGAGGAGGCGGAGGAGGAGGAGGAGAAGGAGGAGGAGGCGGAGGAGGAGGAGGAGGAGGAGGAGGAGGACGAGAACGAGGAGGAGGAGGAGGAGGCGGAGGAGGAGGAGGAGAAGGAGGAGGAGTTTCGGGCTCGAAGTTCGAAGTTGTCGGGCGTCTTCGTCGGTTCTCGGCGGTTTTCCAGCCTCGGGATGCCTGCCAGCAGCTGCGCCTCGCCGGGGGCGTTCCGAGGATGCCCGGATCGTCCCGAACGGCCGCCGGAGACCTGAGCGACGACCCGAAAGCCAAACTCGGCGGCGCTCCCACGGGGGAAGTGAGGAGGAGAAGGCCTTCTCAGAAGGCGGCGGGGCTTTTCAGAAGCCCTCGCGCCTGCTGAGAGGTGTTCTGAGTATTCGGGGGAGGCTCAGAACACTTCTCAGAAGGCCAGGGGGCTTCAGAGCCTTCTGCGAGGGCACGCCCCTTCTCACATCCCCCCGTCGCTCGCCGCTGAGGGATGTGGAGCGCGGTGCGCTGGTGACCACTGGGGCCTCACAGAGGTGCACCTACATCTGGCGATCCTACCAATGTGCCATTGGCCATGGTCACGGCCGACACCTCCGACGTCATTCTTCGTGGCAAAACCACAGACCCGTTCCCTGCAACAGGCTTTCCACGCAATGTTCGTCATTGCAGCCCTGGGTCCCGAAACAGCCCCCCACTCGACACATATTTTGGGAAACGAAAAATGCCATAAACATAAACACTTGGAGGTCCGCGCGGATTTCTTGGATCCGCGCTGGACACCCCTCCCTGGCGCGCGGAGCGCGCCAGGGGCGGCGCCGGAGGCGCCACCAAAGGGCCCCAGCGCCGATCCGAGAAATCCGCGCGGACCTCCGAGTTTTTGTTTATGTCATTCTTCGTTCCCCTTATGTTGTTTATCGTTGTCTAATCGACATAGAGAGACGCTGGTCCACCAGGCAAAAAAAAAAACGGCGAGTGCGCCTGGAAGGCGGCGAACCGGTGAAGCAGCTCGGCCCTGCGGAGCAGGAGCGCGTTGCCGATCATCGCGAAGACGAGCCTCGATTCTGGGAGGAGGGGACTCCTCCTCCTCCTCCTCCTCCTCTTCCTCCTCATCCTCCTCCTCTTCCTCCTCGTCCCCCTCCCCCTCCCCCTGCCCCTCCTCCTCCTCCTCCTCCTCCTCCTCTTCCTCCTCCTCTTCCTCCTCCTCCTTTTCCTCTCAGGACGGCGAGAAGAGTGAGGCCTCGAGGCCACCTGGGATACGTTCGCCCAATTACTTGGCCCTGTTTCGAGGCGGCCCCGCCGTGGACAACACGGCGGTTGCAGGCGCCCGTCGTGGTTGACAGCAGAGGACACAACAGTGATTTGGCAAAACGGCGCGGAGCGCGCCAGGGGCGGCGATGGAGGTGCCGCCAAGGGCGCCTCAGCGCCGATCCGAGAAATCCACGCGGACCTCCGAGTTATTGTGTTTATGTCATTGTTCGTTCTCTTAATGTCGGCGTGCAACCCACGCTTTGCATCTGCCGCTGGCATCGCAGCCGCTGCCGCGGGCGGCCTCCCGGCCTCTCCCATGAAGAATGCTGTGGCCGCGCGCCGCTGCGGGCGGGCCCGGCGCGCCGTCGGCCTCGAACCGCAGCTGCGCAGGAGCCGCGTGCCCCGCCAAAGAGGAGGCGCGGACGCCACTCTGTAGCGGGGCGCGCTTGGGCGATCGCTCGTGGGCAGGTGGTCGCGGTGCTGCCGCATTGGCCCCCGCGTTTGGGATCGTGCTCCCCCTGGCTCTGCCTGCACCGCCCACGGGGCCGAGTACACAAATTATGATGACAAGGTTGTTGTTGATGATGATTATGGTGGTGATGATGGTGATGACGGTGATAATAATGATGATGGTGATGATGGTGGTGATGATGATGGTGATGATGACGGTGATGCAGTTTGCAAGTAGGGGGCGCCGAATGAGCATGGCGACTCCGATGGCGATGATTATAATGATGGTCGTGTACGGTGCTGGTGATGCGGAGAAGGAGGAGGAGGAGGAGGAGGAGGAGGAGGAGGAGGAGGAGGCTTTGGCTGAAGTGGAGGAGACCGATGAAGGCATGAGACTACGAATGTGGGCAATAAGGGGGCGGACAGGGTTAATGGAGAAGGAAGAGGAGAAGGATAGGGAAGGAATCGTACAGAGGCGAAGAAGGGCGAATAGTTGGAGGAAGAAAAGGAAGTCAACATGTATCGCACAGACAAGCAAAGAGGCCCAGCTCAAGCGCCGTGCGGCCATCGTAGAACATCGGCCTCCGCTTTTCATGGGGGATGAGGACTTGGGAATGATGAGGTGGAGGAGGGGTAGCAGGGAAGATAGCCTTTTTGACGTTAATGAGGAGGAGGAGGAGAGGGAGGGAGAGGAACGAAGGCAGGAGGATGGTGAGGAGGACGGGAACATAAGTTCAATATTCTGAGGAGAGGGATGAGGATGAGGTGAAGGAGGAGACCAGGAAAATGAAGAGGAAATCCTGAGGGAAACTGATGGCGCTGATGATGTGTGGAGAGAGAGAGAGAGAGAGAGACAAGAACGTGACCTCCACACGATTCCGCTCCAAATTTGCCGCCGCCAGACGGGGAGCAACCAACTTCTTCCAGTGCGTGCCCGTGTCTCGAAACTGCTTCCTTTCACCGTGCTTCCTATAAGCGTCAACGCTCTTAGTCTCCAACCTGATATGTAGTTCATTCCTCCCCCTGCCCGAATCCATCAGCAACTGTGGAAGCGCAAACCGCCTCCAAATGGAAGCCAAATTCTTCCACCTCTTCACGCTCGCCTCGAGGGTATTGTTTGTAGGGGCATACTAAGAAACAAACAATCACATGGCTTCGGAGAGCCATCGTCCCAAGCCCTTCGCTTTCAGACAACATCGACATGACCGGCACGCTCCTCAATCTTGCACAAAACTGACATACATCGGCAACCATCTGAAAACACATGGAGACAAGATCGCCGTCCCGCCGAGCATGGAGAGAACGGGGCCATTCTTTCGGCCGCCTCCGCACCCATCTCTTCGGGACACCCGAAATAGGTATGGACCTCTTCATTTTGAACAGGACTCGCTGCCGGTGTCGCCGCGGACGTTGACCATTTGAGACAAAATACCGCCTGGCCAACAACGGCCGCTGTCGGTTTGGGGCAACATTGTTGTAGGGCATTGTACCCATTTCCCTGCTCTTGCTGGGCGTCCAGATCCCTGCACATCACTGCCGTCACACTGCCATGTCCCACTTTGCGTTCACATCGCGCCTGGCTGCCTCTGCGTTGCCGTACAGTCGAGCTTGCTTGGACAAGGCACGCGAGAGGACACAAGACCCTTCCGAGGGCTCCATTGTCATAGGGATGCAGGAGGCATGGGTCGCGAGACACAGGACACAAGGGTGCCCTTGACTCGGCAGGGCCGACCTACTGATCAGGGCCGTCTGTATCCAGTGCCCTGGCCCTGCCTCCCAACGCCCGCCCTCTCCTGCACTGCCCCTGCCTCCATTGTCCGCCATCCCGCGCCCAGCTTGCCATCGCTCGGACGTGCATTCCTTGTGCATGTTTCGGTTTCGTGCGTCTGTTTTTGGTTGCTTGTTAGATGTTCCAAGACGCTCCTCGATGGGCCTCGCCGAGAAAACTGCACACGGCCGAGCGATGCCAAGCCGCAGGCGAAGGATGGCCACAAGAACGCGCATCAAGAGCGTGGGCCCCTCCGCCCCGAGGCGCGGGGCGGGCCCGCGGGGGGCCCGCGTGTGCAGATGCCCCGAACAACGGGGCCATCTCGAGGCGGAGAGCCCACGCACGAAGAGCACGAGGGTACCCCTGCAGTCGGCGGCGAGCCCGGGGGGGGGGGGGAAGCGAGAAGGGGCGGGTCTTCTCAGAAGGCCCGGAAGTCCCCCTGGCCTTCCGAGAGGTCTTCGGCAGCCCTCCCCGAAGGCGCAGAACACTTCTCGGAAGGCGCAAGGGCTTCTGAGCAGCCCCGCCGCCATCTGAGAAGGCCTCCTTCTCACTTCCCCCCCTCGCTCGCCGCCGATCCAAGACGGCCCCAGCTACCTCCCAGACGACCCCAGAAAACTTCTCAGAAGGCGCGAGGGCTTCTGAGAAGTCCCACCGCCTTCCGAGAAGGCCTTCTCCTCCTCCACCTCCCCCCCCCCTCACTCGCCGCCGATCAGCTGGCGCTGTGCCTCGCCCTCGTGCCAGCTGTGCCTCTCTCTCTCTCTCTCTCTCGCCATCGCTCGGACGTCCATTCACCGCTCGTTTCTGGGCTTCGCGCGTATAATTCTGCGCAAGATGATCCAGGATGCTCCTCGATGGTCCCCGCCGGAAGGAAGTGCACACGTCCGAGCGATGCCAAGCTCCGCGATTCATTCCCACAACTTCTTCGGCGCAGAATGTCGTGGCCAACTCGCCGCACACTTCGCGCCGCGCGCCGCCGAGGCCTGGCCCGCGAGGCGCAATTGCCTTGATTCCCAAGTGGGCGTCCAACGGTACTTTGCATAGCGTTTGTCACGGCCGACCTGCTGTAGAGAGGCCTCCTGGGTGGGGTCGGAGTAGATGGGGTCGGAGGATCGCGCCACATCGCCGATACATCGGTGATGCATCATCGATGTATCGACGATGCACCGGCGATGCGTCGCCAGGTCGACCTGACGCAAAACGGGCTCCACGTCGAGCCGCATCGGCGAAGCACCGGCGATGAGGCGCGGTCCTCCGGCCCCGCCCACTCGGGCCCCATCTGGGAGGCCTAGCTGTGGTGCCCGCTCCCTTCCTCCAGCAGGCTCCCGCGAGGTGGCCGCGAGGCGGCCACGAGGCGCCCACCGGGGCGGGCACCAAGCGGCGAGATCTCGGCACGACGCCCGCCCAGCGCATGAGGCGCCCACGAGGCGCCCAAGGGGCACACCCACCAACCGGGCACCAGCCGACAACGCAGAAAACCCAACGCCATCGTCGTCGTCGCCGTCGTCGTCGCCGCCGTCGTCGCCGTCGTCGCCGTCGTCGCCGTCGTCGTCGTCGTCGTCGTCGTCGTCGTCGTCGTCGTCGTCGTCGTCGTCGTCGTCGTCGGGAGGGAGGGAGGGAGGGAGGGAGGGGGGAAGGAGCAAATCTTAGTTGGCCGTTCCTCGGTCGACGAGTTCCCCTCCTCCTGTCCCTCTTGGACGCACCCCCTATGGGGCATGATAATTTTCCTCGTTGTCCTCCATCCGTCTCCTCGTCATCATTCCTCCTCCTCCTCCTCCTCCTCGTCCTTCCCCTTTTCCGCCTCCGTGATCCTCTTCCTCCCTCCCCGTCTGCCTCGTCCTCCCCTGTCCTCATCCCCACTCCCAAGCAGTGCTTGCATTTGGGGTCTTTTTTGTCACTTCAGCTGCTGCAGATAATTGCGAAGGCCTCACGGCTGGTGCCTCGGACCCCGAAGGGGGACAACGACGACGACGACGACGGCGACGATGACGACAACGACGACCTCCTTTTCCATCTTCCCTCCTCCGCCTCCCCGTCCTCCTCCTCGACTATTCCCCTCCCTTCTCCCTGATCCTGCTTCTACTAGCCCTGCCCCCTGCGGCCGTTCCACATCTTGCGCTGCCACTTGGGCACCTGCTGCGAGCGGACTATGCCGACGGACGCGGCCTTCCCTTCCTTTTCGGCTGGGCGGCTCTCGGGGACCCGTCTCTGCCGTGAGAACGAAACACGGGAAGGAGGAGGAGGAGGAGGACGAGGAGAAGGAGCAGGACGATGATGCTGCTGCTGCTGTTGATGATGCTGATGCTGATGAGGATAGATGCTGTGATGATAGGTATCATTGTGATCCTGATTATTCCTCCATCCCCGCCTCCCTCTGTCCCACCCCATTTTCTAGCGATCGCACCCTGCTTAGGCGAAGATTCAACCCACCATTGCTCCCTCACACGGGAGCGCACGAGATGGGAGGGGCGAGAGACGACAGGGGCACGCGAAATCAACCATGCTTTTGTTCATCCTTCCCTCCTCTCTCCTTTTCCCTTACCCCTCACTCCAACACTGCTCCGTCCCTCCTCCCCCCCCCCTCCTGCCTCCCCCTCCTCCTCCTTCTCCTCCTCCTCCTTTCTCCCTTTCTTCCTCGCATCCCCCTTGCTTGGTCTCATGGTAGAGCAGACCGAGCAGACCAACTTGTCGGGTACCCTGGCTTGGGCGGAGACACTACGACGATATTGAAATACAGAAGCCCGGAGCGGGGGGGAGCATCTCAACCTTCCTGGGGGAAGGCATCCCATCGACGACCTGTTGAGGGGTGTCGAAGCCCATGGGTCCCTCGTGGGGGCAAGGACCGCATCTCCGACACTTGTGGCGGGCCCTAGAAGAACATCCCCCGAGGAGGGGACACACGCACACGCGCTGGCACTCCCGCCGACGTGGCGAATGTGGAGGCCTTCTTCAGCAGACGCGAGAGAATTGGCCAACGAACTATCGGGAACTTAGCTGCCCCGAGACGCAACACGGAACACGCAACGCATTGATACGGGAACTCAGCACGTAGACTGAACACGTAGGTCTGACGCGATACGTTCGCCAACATGTGGACCAACACGTTGAGCCAACACGCAACGTGTTGACACGGACGTTTCGAGCACGGTACGTGTTGCGTATCGAAACGGGCGTATCGAGGCAATTAAGATCGGGAAGCTAGGAACGCACAGGGCTGGGGTCACATGCGGATCATGCCCGATGCCATGCGCGAGCCGGGTGCACGTGCGGAAGGCCACCGTGCCCGGCCGCGCGAGAGCCGTGTGCGCCAGAAGGGCACGAAGCCGCGCGCGCATGCAGCTGCCGCCCAGGCCCAGACGGCCTGGGCGAAGCGGCCCTGCCATGCGGGGCAGACTGCGCTGCAGTGGCAAATCTCGGCGCCCCTTTGAGGAGAGGGGGGGAGGAACGGGGAGGAGGGGAGGAGGGGGTCGGAAGGGGGGCATGTGGATGGGGGGGGGGGAAGGGGGGAGGAAACAACGAAAGGACAAGTTCAAAGACACTCGAGGACCTGGGGGAAAAGAACGGGGACGAGGAGAGGAAGGGCGACGGGGATGAGGGGAGAAGGACGGGCATGGAGCAACCGAGCTATGCAGTTTGTTGAGAATCTTTCGGCCAACAGGAATCGCGGTCGCTCCCTCGCCGAAGCCTCTAGTGCCAACAGCAGTGGCACCCAGTTCTGTCTTTCATTTTGAGCAGCGATTGGCTGCCCTCAAGGAATGAGTGTGTATTCGAGATGGGGAAGGCTCGAGACTCCCAACGGTTTTGTTCAGGGTGCGGTGGCCTGTCGTGGTGCCCAGGCGGGGTCCTTTTCGTCCTCCCCCGCCTGCCTGTCCTTCTCCCAACGTCCTGTCGTCCCATCCCACGGGGATATGTCTGGACCACTGCGATACCCTTCCATGAGGGCCTCCCGCAGACTCGGCTGAGCTTCTGGGCGCGCCTCTGGGCCCAACCCCTTCAACGTACGAACAGACACTGCAACGGGGGCTCATGAGCCCGAAATCGAGCAGTGGCCCTGGGATAGAGATCGAAAGAATAAGCGGCGACCAATAAGTGATCCTGGGGACGATGGGCAACCTCAGCGAGGATAGGTAGGGCCATGACACCCAAGGGCTTAGCTTCCAGCCTCCTTCGCGCACAAGGACCAATCCATTCACACATTATCGACTCATGCCAGCCGGCAGATCGCTTTACTGAATGATGGGCTGCGCACGGATGCTCGCTAAGGGCAGACCAGGCCCCGAAAGTGGGGAGCGCAATGCTCGCCAACTTCACAAACACATGCGCTGCTATCTGGAACCCTTCCTCCAGACGGTTAGCAGCCCCGGGGCCTGAGCGTGAAACTCCGAAGCCTTCTTGGCATGCCAATCGGCAGCATGGTTACCTCGCGCTGGAAGGCGCTCCTCAGGCGCACGGTGTTCTATCGCATCCAATCTTCGATGCGCGCTAGCATGCGCAATGCTTTCGACGCGACAATAGCCTTCAAACGGGAAAACGAAGGCCGACACCCCGCAAAAACGGCTTCGACGGTCGAAACTGGACATGCTGTGGGAGAGAAGGCCTGAACAATCGCTGTTTTACGATCTGCATGAAACTTGGTGCTACGATCAGCAACCTGGCTAGCTGCTGCGACGGCGAAGTTCTCAGTCAAAGCTGGGGTTTTGGGGCATCCTCCCGGGATGGTTCCGCGGACCACGGAAAGCCCCCCCCTCCCCTTAGACCCGTGAGCAACGGTGGCAGGAGGCCCTCTGGGGGCGCAAGAGGGCTGGCTTGGTGGCGCCGCAAACCTAAGCTGGGGAGCCTGGCCAGCATGCTGGACCACCTGCTCAGGATCAAGTTCTGGCTACATCTCTCCGAATCCATTGGGGACCTCAGCACCTGGGGCACGCTCGATGGGGGAAAGTCTGGAGCTCCGGCTCGAACAACCCCGCGGGTGAGCAAAACCTTGCCAGGATCCTCGAGGGCCTCGAGTCTCGCACCCCCGACTCCCGCCTGCTCACGACCGGCAGCGACGGGGCCTAGCGATCATGAGCGCTGTCGATGATGGACTGTTTCATGTTCGCCAAATTTGCACTTGTCTGCAGCGACAGGGCCTAGCGATCATGAGCGCAGTCGATGATGGACTGTATCACGCTCGCCACATCTGCACATGCCTGCACGTCGAGACTGGCAACCTAAGTCGTGGGCCCTCGCCTCCGCTAGGAGGCCAGTCGCACGCGCAGGCTCGGACAATGCATTTCAGATACTTACTCCTCGGTCGGTAGAAGTAAGTAGAAACATGAATGAAGGGGCCCCTAAGGAAGATCTTGGCCCCCCAGAAAATCGAAGAACTCTCGACTAATTAAAAATGATCAATGTGTACCTACTTCCATCGACTGATGGGTAGTGGGTTTCCTTGAACTATGGCAGCTGCGCGCCTGGCTCGGACTGGCCCTGCACCCCTGCGAGCACCCCGCATGGCCATCCAACGACTCCCCGTGGGCCGCCCGGAGGCCGGTTCTGAGCATCCTCTGGATCACGGCCGGGGACACCTGCTGCAACGAGGTCTCGGCCCCATCCTGGCCCCATTCACCCGGTGGCGGACCCACCGCCCCTGCGGGCGCGCGCGAGAAATCCTTGAGCAGGCGCGCGATGTTAACAGTAGACTGCCCGAGCCAGTGCCATACTAGCGATGCAACCAGCTTGTCGCTGATTGTCTGGTGCAGAAACCTCTCCTCCAGCCATCCGGCTTTCGGGGAGGCACCCCGCGTTGCTTTGAGGTCAGTCTGGCCTGTGATCTCTTGCGCCTCTCCTTCGGCTGTGGTAGCAAATCGAGCGCGCGCCTGCGATAGGAAACCCTATGCTGCGCGTGCTGGTGCCGACTCGCATAGCTCCAGCGCCTTCCCAGCGTACCTGCGTGCTCCGTTCGGAGACCGCGGTTCTCGAATTGGGCCCGCGATGCGCTCCGTGGGCAACTGACTGGCGACTGCATGTGCCATGTACAGCTGACTCACCCCACCGCCACTCACCTCCAATCGCACAGGTCGATGCAGCCGTTTAGGCCACGTCGAGTCGAGAGTGATGGACTCGATCAACCTCTTGGCCACGCCATTTACCGCGAAAAGATTAATGAAGCGGCTCGGCTTCTGACTGATGCAAGTAGACAAGGGGAAAACAAGGACCATCTCTGCATTCCCAACAAAACCTGACTCCTCCACCTCCCGTCAGGAAGCATCCCAGTCACCTGTAACAGGGACTGGATATTGCATGTGGCTGACGCGGTCTTCGACGTTGGCACGGATGCGACTATTCAAGCCTTTGATGCCGTGGCTCAACATCAGAAACAAGATGGTAACACGAAGCGGGGGCCACCCTGGAATATGCACTACCACATGCAGAGCACGGCTCTTGCGGATAATTGTTTCCTCACAGTCAGGCCATTGCAATCTCATGTGGCACTTGGCTAAGATGACGATGCGTTGGACAAGGGTGGCTCCTTTGCTCTTCAGGGCCGGGTTGACCCGTTTCATCCTCCACGACCAGCCCACGACACGAATTCATCTACAGCATTCTAGCTGAAACCCACCTCCTGCAATATGAAAACCGCCGCATCGGTAATTTGGATCCTATGTGTGCTCCAGCGTGTGTATGCCTCGGTTGGCATTGGAGGATTCGACCATTACCGTTCGCCTGGCATCTGCATTGGGCGCTTGCAGCACTCCCCCGCGGTGGAGTGGTAGACTGCTTGCCAGTACGGTCTCCTCGCGCAGGCCAGGACATAAACCTGGACTTCTTTTGATGGCGGATGGTGGAGGCCATCTCGATGAACGCTTGCTGGAGCTTCAGCTGGTCCTGACCTCCGCTATTGGTTGTCAAAGCGAAAAATCGCTGCAACTCTTCGTGCGTACAGGCAACATTTGCTTCACGCTTGACTCTTTCGGGGACTGGCTGATCAGCAGTAGCAGCACCACCACAGTTGCCAGCCGAGGGCTAGCAGACTGACTGGGCGAGTCCATCTCTCATCCATTTTCCAAGTGAACTCTCCAGCCCAGGGTTCTCTTTTAGTTTGCGGGCCAAAGGCCCTCCACCAGAAGCGTGTCGAGCAACAGGCGTTGGAGTTGGACACGCAAAAATACGTGTGCGGAGGGGGGGTCTCCCACATGGGTCTCGGCACGCGTGTGTTCGGCACGTGTTTTTACTTGTTTTTTGGCCACGCCGGGCGGCAGGCGAGGGGCCCAACTTGAGCCCGCTGGATTCTTCAGGCAGGGAAATACGTGCGCGGAGGGAAGGACCCAACATGCGTCTGGCGCGTGCGAGCGGGGCACCTCTTTTCACATGTCCACGGCCTCCAGCAAAGAGCCCAACTTAGACCGCCGGATTCTTCGCATGTGCAAAGAGCGTGCGCGGAGTGAGGCCCAACATGCGCCTGGCGCGTGCGCGTGGGACGCTCACTTTCACGTGTCCACGGCCCCTGCAAAAATAGGTGCGCGGAGGGGGGGGCCCAACATACGCCTGGCGAGTGCGCGCAGGACACGTATATGCACGTGTCCACGGTCCCTCGGGGGACCCAAGCGAAGGACCCAACTTGAGCCCGCCAGACTCTTCACACGTGAAAGTACATGCGCGGAGGGCGGGGGCCCAATGCGCCTGGCGCGTGCGCGCGGGGCACGTATTTTCACGTGTCCGCGGCCCCCAGGGTGGGGCCCAACTTCCCGGGGCGGGGACCCAACGTGGGCGCCTCGGATTGATTCTTCACGCGTGGAACTGCGTGTGCGGAGGGCGGCGACCCAACATGCGCCTGGCACGTGTGCGTGGGGCACGTCGTTTCACGTGTCCGCGGCCCCCAGGGGGGGATCCATTGTGGGCGCGTCGGATTCTTTATGCGGGAAATGCGTGCGCGGAGGGGAGGGGAGGGGGGGGGGGGGGCAATATGCGCCTGGCGCGTGCGCGCGGGGCATGTATTTTTACGTGTCCTGGGCCCCCCCCCCAGGGAGGACCCAACTTGGTCGCGTCGGATTCTTCACACGTGCACAAGCGCCGCCGTGCAGCAGGCTGATGACGACGGGGAGAAGGAATGCGGAGGTAGGAATACGATGACGAGGAGGAGGAAGGAGGAAGATCTGAGAAAGGTGCTGTTCAGACTCTGGGGCGCCCCCAGACTCTGGGGGGTGGGGGTTGCTCCGACCTTGTCTCTCGTTGTCCGACTGTGTCTCCTCGCTCCTACCCCCTGCCTGCTTCTCCTGGTCCTCCTCCCTGTTTCTCTTCCTACTCCCTCTTCGCCTGTCTTTCCCAATCCTTTTCTTCCTCATCCTCCTCTTCCTCCTCCTCCTCCTCCTCAACCTCCTCCTCCTCCTCATCCTCCTCCTCGCCCCCAGTGCGCCCAGGAGGCTTCCAAGATGGCTCCATGACTTCCCAGGAGGCCCCAAACACGGCCCCAAGAGGCCTGTAAGACGCCCAAGATGGCCTCCAAAACGGCCCTGAAGCGCCTCAAGAGGACCCCACATCGGTTCAGAGAGGCCCCCAAGACGGCTTCCGACGGCGTCAGCCCCGTCAGACGGGCCAGGAACGCTTTAAGACGGCCAAGGAGAGGCCCCCAAGAGGCATAAGGAGGCCCCCAAGAGGCTTCCAAGAGGCCCCCGGGAAGCCCCCAGGAGGCCCCACAAGAGTGCCCCAAGAGGCTCCCAAGAGGCCTCCTCCTCCTCCTCCTCCTCCTCCCTCTCCTGGTCCTCCCCCCCAAGTGTTCCCCGAAGAGTTTCCGGAGCGGCTGGGGTAATACATAATCAGATAGCTTGGCCAAGCTGGGGCCCAACGTTTGGCCACATAGGCGCTTCTCAAAAAGGCTTGGGGCGGCGGTGATTCGCCGTAGGCGTCTTGGATCCGCCGCCCCCTGTGCTTGCCACAGGGGTGGACGGAGTGCCAGACATTTTGCTGCTCGTGTTATTTTCAAACCTTTCCCAGTGGCCTTCGGCCCAGACCGCCTGCCCCTCGGAAGGACCAGAAGGTGTGGCCCACATCGCCACCAAGACGGCCCAAATGGCCCAAGATGGTCACCAGGATGCCTCCTAGGCGGCTAGGATTGCCCCAAGAGAACCCAAGACGGCCCCAATATGTCTCCAAGACGGCCCAAGATGCACCCGAGGCGTTCCAAGATGGCCCCAAGATGGCCCAGGACGGCCCCAAAGGCCCCCAAGAGGCTTCCAATGCAATCCAAGAAGCCCCCAAGGGGACCTGCAGGAAGGCCCGAAGAGGCAGAGACAGCTGACTTCCCGTGGGCTCTTGACGGATTTTGACGTTTTCGGCCTGCCGACGGCCCAATGCCGCCGAAGAGACCCCCAAGATGGCCCCAAGAGCGCCCAAGAGGCCTCCAAGACGGCCCCATGACAGTCTCCAGACGGTCCAAGAGGCCCCCAAGGAGCCTCCAAGACGGCCCACGAGAACTCCAAGGCGCCCACGATGGCCTTCAAGACAGCTCCAAAACGTCCAAGATGGCAACGATACGATTCGACATAGCCCCAGGATGGCCCAAGACAGCCCCAGAGGGCCCCAAGGGGATCCAAGGGGCCTGCTAGACAGTCTAGGAAGTCTTCAAGAGGACCTCCAGGAGAGCCCGAAATGCCCAAATGGTTGTACTTCCTTTAATTGTTGAATAATTTGGGCGCGTTTTTTTTCGGCTGTCCGACGGCCCAAGATGTTCACAAGATGGTCCCAAGACGGCCCAAGCTGACTTCAAGATGGCCCCAAAAGGGCCCCAAAGGGCGAGGAAATTGTCCAAGAGGAAGAGCAAGAGGAAAGGACGGAATCGGAGGCCCGAAGCGGCTCCGAGAAGCCTGCAGCTCAGCGCGGGCTCGTCTGCGGACGCCCTTGCCGCCCCAGGAAAAACATATCACCCCGAGGCCCAGAGATTTTTTGTGGGACCGCCCTCTCAAGGCCCCACAGCCAGCTTCTGGGTCGAGGAGGAGGAGGTGCAGGAGGACGAGGAGGTGATCAAGAGGAACCAGAGGAGCAGGAGGAGCAGGAGGTTGAGCAAGGGGTCAAGGACGGAATGAAGGGCCCGACGCGGCTCCGAGACCAGACCACGCTGAGCTGCAGAGCCGCTCAAGGCCTCTCATTTCGTCCTTGTCCCCCTGCTCAACCTCCTCGTCCTTCTGCTCCTCCTTCTCCTAGTTTTCGTCTTGATCAACGTCCTCGTCCTCCTGCTCCTCTTCTTCCTCGACCCAAGAGCCGGCCGTGGGGCCTTGAAAAGGCGGGCCGAACAAAAGTCACCGGGGGCCTCGGGCTGTTTTTTTGTTTGGGGGGGGCAGAGGCGTCCGCAGACGAACCCGCGCTGAGCTGCAGGTTTCTCGGAGCCGCTGCGGCCAAAAAAAGGCTGCCCTGCAGGCTGTCTCGGAGCCGCTGCGGCCAAAAGAAGGACACTTTGTCGGTTTAACTGTTGGGTCGCTTTGTCGGCTGATTTCGGGCGCGTCGTCGTCGTCGTGGTCGTCGTTGTCGTCGTCGTCGTCGTCGTCGTCGTCGTCGCCACCATCGTCGTCGTCGTCGTCGTGGTCGTCGTCGTCGTCGTCGTCGTCGTCGTCGTCGTCGTTGTCGTCGTCGTCGTCGTCGTCGTCGTTGTCGTTGTCGTTGTCGTCGTCGTCGTCGTCGTCGTCATCGTCGTCGTTGTCGTTGTCGTCGCCGTCCATAAGATGTCTCCAAGAGGGCCCTAAGAGGGCCCCAAGAGGGCCCCAAGAGGGCTCCAAGAGGGCCCCAAGAAGGCCCCAGGAATCATGTACCAACCCAGCGGCCGCTGGTACATAACTCCTGGGGCCCTCTTGGGGCCCTCTGAAGGCCCTCTTGGAGCCCTTTTGGGCCCCGGGTTGGCCCTAAGAGGGCCACAAGAGGGCTCCAAAAGGGCCCCAGGAATTATGTAGCAGCCCAGCGGCCGCTGGTACATCACTCCTGAACCCTCTTGGAGCCCTTTTGGGCCCCTTGTTGGCCCCTATGATGGCTCCAAAAGGGCCCTAAGAGGGCCCCAAGACAGGCCCAAGAGGGGCCCAAGAGGCCTCAGAAACCGCCAGCAGGTGTCATCGAACAGCGCGTCTGGATGAGACCCCTCAGATGTCTCTGGGGCGCGTCTTGGAGCCCTCTTGGGGCGCTCTGGAGCCCCCTGGGTGCTCCCAAAAAGGTTCCAAGGGACATCCCAGGGGGTGGAGGGGGAGGTGGAGGGGGAGTTGGAGGGGGAGTGGAGGGGGAGGTGGAGGGGGGGCGGAGGGGGGTGGTCAAGCTAGGTGCGCTCGCGTCATATCTGACGTCCTACCCCTCCCTCCCATCCCTTACCATGGCGCTGATTTTCTCTATCCGCGGACGCGTGTCGTAGCGGACCTGTGGCTCCGCGCGCGCGTGCGTAGTGGGTGGTGGTGCGCGTGCGTGCGTGCGTGCGTGTGCGTGGTTGTGGTGGTGGTGGTGGTGGTGGTGGTGGTGGGTGGTGGTGGGTGGTGGTGGTGGTGGTGGTGGTGGTGGCGGTGCGGCGCGGTGGTGGCGGGCGGATGGGCGCGCGAGAAAGAGGCCCGCGCTGGGGCGAGAACGCCATCCTGAACGACGGAGGCCAAACACCGATCCGAAAATGAGGCCCACGCTGCAGCGGGAGCACGATTCGGAACGGTTCGGGAGCAGAAATGAGGCCGGCGCCTCAGCGAGAGCAGCATTTTGAAAAAAAACGCAGGCGAAAACCCAACTCCCGGGAATCCTGTGTAAAAAACAATACGCGGGGGGGGGTCGGCTACTTTCAGGCCGCCATCGGGGGAAGAGGGAGAGTAGTATTCATATTGAGTAATTGTGGAGGGGGGGTTGGAGGGGGGGTGGGGGGGTTGGTGGAGGGGGGAGGGAGAGGGACAGGGGTTTGATTAGGAAACTGGAAGAGGTTTGACGACCACAATGGCGATGACGACGACGACGACGACGACGACGACGACGACGACGACGACGACGACGACTACAACGACGACGACGACGACGACCACGACGACCACGATGACGAGTGGGCGCCTTGGAGTTCTCGTGGGCCGTCTTTGAGGCGCCTTGGGGGCCTCTTGGACCGTCTGGAGACCGTCATGGGGCCGTCTTGGAGGCCTCTTGGGCGCTCTTGGGGCCATCTTGGGGGTCTCTTCGGCGGCATTGGGCCGTCGGCAAGCCGAAAACGTCAAAATCCGTCAAGAGCCCACGGGAAGTCAGCTGTCTTTGCCTCTTCGGGCCTTCCTGCAGGTCCCCTTGGAGGCTTCTTGGAATGCATTAAAAGCTTCTTGGGGGCCTTTGGGGCCGTCCTGGGCCATCTTGGGGCCATCTGGGAACGCCTCGGGTGTATCGCGGGCCGTCTTGGAGACACATTGGGGCCGTCTTGGGCTCTCTTGGGGCAATCCTAGCCGCCTTGGAGGCATCTTGGTGGCCATCTTGGGCCGTCTTGGTGGCGATGTGGGCCACACCTTCTGGTCCTTCCAGGGGCAGGCGGTCTGGGCCGAAGGCCACTGGGAAGGGTTTGAAAATAACACGAGCAGCAAAATGTCTGGCACGCCGTCCACCCCTGTGGCAAGGACAGGGGGCGGCGTATCCAAGACGTCTACGGCGAATCACCGCCGCCCCCAGCCTTTTTGAGAAGCGCCTATGTGGCCAAACGTTGGGCCCCAACTTGGCCAAGATATCTGATTATGTCCTCCCCCCAGCCGCTCCGCAAACTCTTCGGGGAAAACTTGAGGGAGGCTGAGGTGGAGGATCAGGAGAGGGAGGAGGAGGAGGAGAAGGAGAAGGAGGAGGAGGAGGAGGAGGAGGAGGAGAAGGAGGAGGAGGAGGAGGAGGAGGCCTCTTGGGAGCCTCTTGGGGCACTCTTGTGGGGCCTCCTGGGGGCTTCCCCGGGGCCTCTTGGAAGCCTGTTGGGGGCCTCCTTAGGCCTCTTAGGGGCCTTGGGGGCGTCATGGGGGCCTCTCCTTGGCCGTCTTAAAGCGTTCCTGGCCCGTCTGACGGGGCTGACGCCGTCGGAAGCCGTCTTGGGGGCCTCTCTGAACCGATGTGGGGTCCTCTTGAGGCGCTTCAGGGCCGTTTTGGAGGCCATCTTGGGCGTCTTAGAGGCCTCTTGGGGAGGAGGAGGAGGAGGAGGAGGAGGAGGAGGAGGAGGAGGAGGAGGAGGGGAGGAGGAGGAGGAGGAGGAGGAGGAGGAGGAGGAGGAGGAGAGGAGGAGGAGGAGGAGGAGGATGAGGAGGAGGAGGGGAGGAGGAGGAGGCGGAAGAGGAGGTGGAGGAGGAGGAGGAGGAAGAGGAGGAAGAGGAAGAAACGGACTGGGAAAAGCAGGTGAAGAGGGAGTAGGAAGAGAAACAGGGAGGAGGACTAGGAGAAGGAGGCAGGGGGTAGGAGCGAGGAAACACAGTTGGACAACGAGAGACAAAGTCGAAGTAACCCCCAACCCCCAGAGTCTGGGGGCGCCCCAGAGTCTGAACAGCACCTTTTCAGATAAGGAGGAATGAGGAAGGAAGACGAGGAGGAGGAGGAGGGGCAAATGAAACATGGGGAAGGGTAAGGGGAATAGGGTCCGAGAAGTGCAGGAGAGGGGCAGGAGGGTGAGGAGATGAGGCGACGGGAACACAAGGGGCAGAAATAGGAGAGGGAAGAGGGGCAGAAAAGGAAATGAAGGTATTGTCGACTCTGGAAACCCTGGAACCAAAGGGGAAGGAGGACGAGGAGGAGGAGGACGAGGAGGAGGAGGAGGAGGAGGAGGAGGAGGAGGAGGAATGGAGGAAGACGAGGACGAGGACGAGGACGAGGAGGAGGAGGAGGGGGGGGGAGGAGAGGAGGAGGAGGAGGGGGAGGAGGAGGAGGAGGAGGAGGAGGAGGAGGAGGAGGAGGAGGAGGAGGAGGAGGAGGAGGAGGAGGAGGGATAGGAGGTGGGTGGGGATGAGGAGGAGCAAAAGGAAGAGAAGGAGGAGGAGGAATACGTGAAGGAAATAGTGCTTGCAGCCAAACGGAGGGACAGTGTTGCACGCGCGTCACAAACACATTTGACTCAAGTTCCTCATTGGGTTCGTAGGTCCCTCAATTTGGACTGCAATGCGATCGTGCTCCTGGATGCCTTGGATGAGTTTGGTCTGCACCACCTCACCGAGACCTTCCACGAGCCTCCTCCTTCTTGAGGGTGAATGCTGGCATCTTGGCGCCAACGACCTTCGGCGCCACCGCCGCTGCCGTCTGCGCGAAGTTCTCTCGTAGTACGATGATCTCCCACTTCTTGGACTGAATGGCGACGTTCTTCAATGCGATGGTGCCGTGGAGGTCCGTGAGCTGCTTCAGAAGCCTTGCGGCCTCACCTTCCAACTTCGCCAACATGTTTGATGCATGCTTCAACTTGTCCTGTGCCCTTCAGTGGGCCGATCCGTGGGACTGGAACTTCTCAAGCGCTGACTTGCACTTGTCCATCCCAGCCAGGAGGAGGCATTTGGCCTTGGGTGGGCCAGTCTCCAACTTGAGCCACTCCTCGAAGTAAGCGAGTCGGCTCTGGATGACGCTACTGTTCTCACCAGCGTCGTCGTCATCGTCTGGCGTGGGGCTTGGACACTCCTCGTGCGGAACAGGCTTGGCTTTGACTGTGCAGCTTTGCTTGCGCAGCCTTGCGATCTCTTGGTCCACCCACGGCGAGTAGGAGGAGGAAAAGGAAGGAGGACGACGAGGAACGAGAGGACGCAGATGGGCGACGATCCAAAACAGGTCTCACGCGAGATGACGCGGCGACCCTGCGCGGCGGCCTACGCGGGCGGCCACTGTGGCACGCCGCCTTGCAGACGAGGGCGCTTACGCGCGACCCGACGCGGGCAGCTTACGCGCCACTCTCGGCGAAGACGGCCCCGCTTTCTTCCCGAGCGGAGCTGGGCTTCGCCCCCGTGCGGGTGACGTGCGAGGTCAACCGCCCCGAGCTGGTGCCCTGGCCGCGCGCGGCCTCCTCCTGGATCCTCCTCCTCCTGGATCCTCCTCCTCCTCCTCCTCCTCGATCCTCCTCCTCCTCCTCCTCCTCGAGCCTCCTCCTCCTCGCTCCGACGATGGACGCGCGGCCCTTTTGCCCGACGCCAGCGGGGCCGTCGACAGCCTGCGCCCCGTCAGCGGCCCGAGCCGGGGGGGCGCCCGGCCCGCGCCTCGGGCGCTCGGGGACGCGCGGGCGGCCGCCCGCGCCGCCCTCAGCTGGCCGCTCCCCGGCCCCGCTCGGCGAGGCCCCTGCAGGCAGGGCGCGCCGGTCAACGTCGACGTCGTCGTCGCCGTCGTTGTCGGCGTTGTTTTCTCGTCGTTTTCGTCGTCGTCGACGTCGTCGTCGTCGTCGGAGGCCGCAGACCTCGCCGCCCGGAAACACACACACGCACGCACACACACACACGCACACACACAACACACACACACACGCACACACACACACACACACGCACACACACACACACGCCACACACAACACACACACACACACGCACACACACACACACTCAGCCACACACCACACCCACAACACCACACCCACACACACACACACACACCACACACCACACACGCACGCACACACACGCACGCACGCACACACGCACGCACGCACGCACGCCGCAGCAACACACACAAACACACGCCACACACCTCACACCCACACACCACACGCACACACACACACCACACGCACACACACACACCACACACAGCACGCACGCACGCACGGCACGACGCACGCACACAACACACCACGCACACACCCACACAACCAACACACGCACGCACGCACGCACGCACAACACACGCACACACGGCACGCACACACGCACGCACGCACGCACTCACGCACGCACACACGCACACGGCGCACACCACGCACACACGCACACACACGCACACCACGCACACCATGCGCATGCACACGCGCACGCACCACGCACGCACGCACGCACGCACGCACACACGCACACACGCACACACGCACACACGCACACACGCACACACGCACACTCGCGCGCACTCGCACACTCGCACACACGCGCACACGCGCACACGCGCACACGCACACACGCACACATGCACACACAGCACACACACAACACACACAGCCCAAACAACACACACACAACACACACAACACACACAACACACACAACACACAACACACAACACACACAACACACAACGCACGCAACACACACGCACACACAACACATAACACACAACACACAACACACAACACACAATACAACACACAACACACAACACACAACACACAACACACAACACACACAAACACACACACACAACACACAACACACACCACACAACACACACAACATACAACACACACACAACACACGCAAGACAACACACGCCCGCACACACGCACACTTGCACACACGCGCGCACGCACGCACCCACACGCACGCACGCACGCACGCACAGATACGCACACGCGCACGCACGCACGCACGCATAAACCCACACACCCACACACACACACGCACACACGCACACACGCACACACGCACCACACGCACACACGCCAAAAAAAAAACACCACGCATACAGCCCACACACGCACACAAGCACACACGCACACACGCGCACACAACAGCACACGCACAAGAACGCATCAGCGCAAACACACCCACACAGCACACACGCACACACGCACACACGCACACACGAACACACACACACACACACACGCACACGCACACACACACACGCATACGCACACGCACACGCACACACACACACACTCTCACCCACACACACTCACACACGCGCGCGCACACGCACACACGCACACTCACGCGCACTCGCACATTTAAACACACACACACACACGCACTCACATACACGCACGCGCGCACACACGCAAACAAGCGCACACACGCACACCACAAAGCACACACGCACACACACACACAGCACGACACGCACACACGCACACACGCACAAAACACGTCACAACACGCACACACGCAAACACGCAACACGCTCACACCGCACACGCGCACACAACTTGCACACACGCACACACAGCACACACGACACACACGCAACACGCACACACGCACACACACGCGCATCACGCGCACACGCGCAAACGCCACACCCGCAAACACGCACACTACGCAAACATTCACACACGCACACCACGACAACGACGACAACACGAAAACACACGAACACACGCACGCATGCACACACACACACGCACACACGCACACACGCACACACGCACACACACACACACGCACACACGCACACACGCACACGCGCACGCGCGCACACGCACACACGCGCACACGCGCACACACGCGCACACGCGCACACGCGCACACGCGCACACGCGCACACGCGCACACGCGGAAACGCGCACACGCGCACGCGCGCACACGCGCACACACGCACACGCGCACGCGCGCACGCCCGCACACCCGCACTCGCGCACACCCGCACACCCCCACGCCCCCACAAACGCACAAACGCACAACCGCACAGACGCACAAACGCATAAACGCACAAACGAACGAACGCACAAACGCACAAACGCACAAACACACAAACACACACATGCACAAACGCACAAACGCACAAACGCACAACCGAACAACCGCACACCCGCACAATCACACAACCGCACAAACCCACAAACGCACACACACAAACGCACAAACGCACACACGCACAAACGCACGCGCGCACGAACACATCCGCACACCCGCACACCCGCACACACCCACACACCCGCACACCCGCACACCCCCACGCCCCGACGCCCCAACGCGCCGACGCCCCCACGCCCCGCGCCCCCACGCCCCCACGCCCCCGCACCCTCACGCCCCCGCGCCCCCACGCCCCCGCGCCCCCACGCCCCCGCCCGCCCCCACCGACCCCCGCGCCCCCGCGCCCCCGCCCCCGCCCCACCGCCCCCACGCCCGGCACCCCCACACCCCCACGGCCACCACCACGCCCACGCCCCCACACCCCCACACCCCACCCACCCCCAACCCACCAAAACCCACCCCCGCCCCCCCCCCCCCACGCCCCCACGCCCCATTCCACCCCCCCTCCCCCACCCCTCCCAACCCTCCAACCCCCTCCCCCCCGCCCACATACCCACACCCCCACGCACCCACACCCCCACACCCACACCCCCCACACCCCCACACCCCCAACACACCAATAACCCCACCACCCCCACACCCACACACACCCACACCCCCCAAGCCCCCACACCCCCTCACCTCACGCCCCCGCCCCCCCACCCCACACCCCCACGCATTCCCCCACCCCCCCACACACACACACACACACACCCTTGTTCCTTATTGTTCTATGCCCCCACGTGCTTCGTATTCTGGCCGATAGCGGCCCAATCCGGGACCCCCCATCCGGACTATGAAAAAAAACAATACAAAATTGCCGTTTTTCTTCTCAACATCGTTGTTCTTGTCGCCGACGATGCGAAAAGCGTGGCAGGAATGGGACGCGGCGCACATCGCTCGCGGCAGTCAATCTGGGCCCGCCCACCCTGACAGTAAAAAATCAATACAACGTCTTCGTTTTTTCCTCTCAGCATGGCCTGCCTTGTCGCCGACGGTGCGAAATGTGTGGCAGGAATGGGACGCGGCGCACATATGGGACGCGGCGCACATCGCGCGCGGCCGTCGATCCGGCCCGCCCATCCTGATTGTAAAACACCAATGCAAAGTCTCCATTTTTCCACTCAGCATGGCTTGCCTTGTCGCCGACGGTGCGAAATATATGGCAGGAGTGGGGCGCGGCGCACATCGCGCGCGGACGTCCATGCGGCCTTCGGACCTTCACATCCTGATTGTTACAAAAAACAATACAGATTACCACTACCACTACCACTACCACTACTAGTACTACTACTACTACTACTACTACTACTACTACTACTACTACTACTACTACTACTACTGCTATTACCACTACCACCACTACTAC